CAGAGGAGACGACGGAGGAGGCACAGCGGCGCCGAATGGAAGAGATCAGTGACCACGCCAAGAATCTGACCCTGAGCGAGGACCTGGAGAAACCTCTGGAGGAGAGGGTCAACCTCTTTTACAGCTTTGTGAAAGTAAGACAGCCGAGACTGAGTACACTTCGACTGAAGATGCTGTCTGATTGGCTGACGGGGTGGAGTCGGTGTACAACTCCCAGCAGCAACAGAATCAGACAAAAAATAAAACGCAGAAAATTCATCTTTGTTTGTGTCGCTTACAGTACTTTACTAAAGAAAAACCACCCAAACAGTGTCGAGTTGTGCAGCCAAGGGACCAGTTATTAGATTGAACAGAAACAAATCTTTCCCCGCAAGTTGTTCACCTCTTCGTTTGTTCTTAAACAGCAAAAGAAGGAGAGCAGAACCATCGATGGCGCAGATAAAGAGATCCTGGCAGAGGCAGAGCGTCTGGACGTGAAGGCCATGGGTCCACTCATCCTCAGCGAGCTCCTCTTCAACGAGAACATCCGGGACCAGATCAAGAAGTACAAACGCCACTTCCTGAGAGTACGTCTCTGTTAGAACAGTCTGAAATTGATCAACAACTTCGTTTAGAAAGCTCATTTAACAAACAGTAAAAACAGCGAGATTTATTATTGGCCATTTAGTTCCATCTTTTTAAATGAGAGTATTAAAGAACACTTCCATAATAGGAAAATTGTCTGGAAAAAGTATCGTTTTGGACTGAGTGATCTTTAAAGATGGGGAAATGAAAACAGCATCAGCAGTCATTGGTATCCCGGATTAAATTACAAGAATTACTGAAGGACAAAGAAATCCAGTCCACTACTGCTCAGGTTTCATGTTAACACTCCAAACTTTCAGTTACAGGAATAAAAACAAAAACTAATGCGTAAAATAAACAGTGGTGGCCATTAGCTACATTGAACTTTAAGCATTGGCTATGGAAAAACCCACATCTCCCTCCTGTCATCAGGATTATTTTGTACATTAAACTGAGAATGATCACAAGTTCTTCAGGTGATGGAAAACATTGTTACATTAAGTATTTAGAGCAAGACATGTAATCTGAGAATCTCATGACTTAATACTCAATTTCTAAAATATAAAATGAAGACACATTGATAAAATACACAGCTTGAGGCTTCTTGATTTATTGTCTTTTTCACTTATACATAAGCAATTAGTTTTCTTTCTCAATGCAAAAGTCGATGGACTGAGTCAAGATGGCCAGGTTCAGTGACTTTATCTGAAACTCTGGCAATCCTGATGAATTATTGATGCCACATTTTAACATGAATGCATTTCTGTGAGGATCCATGTTTACAGTCAATTATTTTCAATTGTTTGAATGAAACCAGCGCCTTGTGGTCATCAGTGGTATTGCAGTTGAAGGTTCTTCCACGCACACTACTAAGAAAACATAATTTTTTATTTTTTTTTCTTCTCCCTAATGTTCAATAAAACAATTTTTTTCTGCTGGAAGTGAGTGTAACGTATCTGCTGTATGTTATTCATATCCCAGTTCTGTCACAACAACAAGAAAGCCCAGAAGTATCTGCTGGGAGGTTTCGAGTGCGTGGTGAAGCTCCACCAGGTGCAGCTGCTGCCGCGCGTCGCCATCATCCTCAAAGACCTGTATGACGCCGACCTGCTGGAGGAGGACGTCATCTTCGCCTGGGCCGAGAGGGTCAGTGAGCTGGCAGCTACCGTCGGTTCAGTTCTCAGTGTCTCCAAAAACTGAGCAAAGGCTCAAAAGTCTCCCAATTGTCCCACTTTGATGTTAGTAGTTTCACATCTTGGTTTTCTTGTAACCAACGTTTCCCCCGTCTGCTCTCATTTCCTGTTTTCCTCAGGTTTCTAAGAAGTATGTCTCCAAGGAACTTGCCAAAGAGATCCATGCCAAGGCCGCTCCTTTTGTCAAATGGCTGAAGGAGGCAGAGGAAGAGAGCGAGGGCAGCGAAGAGGAGGAGGAGGAGGAAGATGACGAAAACGTCGAGGTACAACTTTTTCTTTCTCGTTTGGACAAAAAGTTCCTGGAAATGCCCTCAAAGCTCCAAACTGGCAGGTGATTCTTTTCAGTGTCAATTTTAAAGTGATAGTTCCTATGCTAATTCATAGACACCTGTTTAGAAAATAAAGTGCATTGATTCATGCAGTTAATAAGAGAATAAAATAAAACACAAAATTGTATTTACTTTAGTCATTTTTTGATCTTTTGTCTTTTGTAAAAAAAGAAAAAAAAATAACAATGTTGTTAAAAAAAAATTAAAGTGAAAGCATCCCACTCTGATCTAGCGATGAACTCAACTCGTTTCATTCCTGATATTTGATTCTATATAGAAAATCAATCCTGAATGAACTTAAAATGTTTCTTTTTGTTGATACGACAAAAGAAAGTAGGTTGACTACCCCTGGTCAAAAATATAGAAATAAACTTTGACAAACTATTGAAATTGTTCAGAAAGAGCAATTATGAATTCTAAATATGGAGTAAGATGGATAATGCAGCACTTTAAATATTAGACTGATACAGACATCCGTTTTCTACCGTTCCCGTTTTAGCCAAAAAATGTTTTAGGTGGTACAAAGATTGATCTGAATCTCAGTGGAAAATATTTCAGAATATGCAACAATCATAAGATCTGAGTATTTAACCCCATATTTAGACATCACCAGCCTTGACATGAAAATAAACTGATTATCCAGTATGTTGTGGAGGAAACGGCAGCACAATGGTTCAGACATCTGGAGGGAATGGATGCAGAAAACAGTTGTTTACAAGCAACCCTTGAACTCTGCGTTATAAATATGCTGCTTACAGGAGTTTTTGTGCTTTTCTTCCCACAGGTGGTGTACTCATCTTCTGCCCGCGAGCTCAAAGTGGAGACCGTGAAACCAGACACACCAGAGAAAGAAGAGGACGATATCGACATCGATGCAATCTGAGAGATTCTGGATGCTGCTGCTGCTGCTTTTCTCTTGTGTTGTGGCTTCAACTCAGCCGGCCCTGTACGACCGATACGGCTCAGCTTTTCCCTTCCTGATTCCCCCCTCACCCCTCCTCTCCTCCTGCCCTCTATATACCCTCCGGCTTTACAGCATGATATAGTATTGTAGCGCTTCACCTGCCACAAAATAACTGTATAATTCTGCTATGAGTTTATTAAATGAAGTTGATTTGTGGGATTTTAATCAAGGGTGTTATGGGATCTTTTTCACTGCACTTTTTCTTTCTTTCCTCTTTTTGTTTTGAGGTCCCTGTATTTTTCCAGTCAATAAAGAATGTTTTGCTATCCATCATGCCTGACTGTTTGTTTTGGTTAAAGTGTTGGAAATTATGAAGACATTTACAATAATGGGGATTCTTTTGTTTTGATGTCGCCTAAAATGTATACATTGTCAGTTATGTGCTAGCTAGAAAGATAAAAAGTTCCAGCTTCTTTTGTGATGGTATTTTTCTCACAGTTCGGACTGGCTTAAACATAAAATTGCAACTCCATGTACCACAGTAAGCTTTAGTCACTGTAGTGGAGCACGAGTTATAATATGGCCATATAATGCAGCTTTTGATGTTGGAAATTTCACTTCCAAAAAAAAGGGAAAGGAAATATTCAAACTAACTGATCAACGTATGTGATGAAGGCATACATCATCGAAAGCTTGTTTTTGGCTGCCTTAGCTCAATACTAGCTGAAACTTAGTTAAATGAACAGAGTAGAAGAGGCCTGTGACTTTAAGAAGTTTGAGGAATCCGTGCATCCCGTCAGTCAAGAGCACGCGATCATCTCTAAATGTTTAATGACTAAATTGAATAATTCAATACATTTATACCTAAAAAAAAATCCAAGACTAAAATATTCATCTAAAGTAATTGACGACCTTGTTATTTTCTGTCTCTGCCTTCCAAACGCCGGAGAGCGAAGAGCAGCGCGGACATTCTTCTTTGTGAAGCGAACAACGCAACCATTTCCTCCTGACTGGTGGCGGTCCTCGCAGCACTTTGTAGTCCGGTGGGACCGGGGTCAGTCGGTTTCCGCCCGTTCAGCTAAACATGCTTGTGAGGCTTTCAAGTCCTGTCGGACACAAAAGTGAATGAAACAAACCTCATAAAAACAGAAGCCACGGTATGTGGGACTTAATGCTCCTTTTTAACAGCATACAACAAAACGGATCAGCTTTCCTTTTGCACCTACATGTGAATAATAACTTAAAGGGGTAGTACAAGGTAAAAAAAAAAATTAAATAAAATATTTAGCTTTATGTCATGTTATTCCGTTGTCAATAACATAACACTCTCAAAACAACTGAGAGTGTTGTTTTGATCCTTTCATGTACGTTTTAGAAATCCTTGAATCTACCATGGCAACCATTTAGGGGTGCAAAACACTTCCATGCTGCAGTTCAGCCCCTTCAGACTAGCGGCAGCAGCAATTAGCAAACACCTGGCGGAACTGAGATTCTACAGAGCTCAGATAAACTATTTCTCAGCTCAGTGTTCTGAAGAAAGTTTGTCAACGGCTTTCTGGAGAGATGTTGTGATGAAGGCAAAGTGTCGGAAAGAGCAGAAGCTTCTTAAAGAGACAGAGGCCCAATTTCAAGCTATCAAATTACAAAGTCAAGTTTCTTGTAAGTTCATAATTGAGTGAAATGTGAGAACACTGCAAGTCTTTCAGAAATATTCAGCTCATCTTTTGGTTATTCCTGATGTGCTGTCATCTACCCAAACAATGACAGAATTTTTCTGTGAAATTTAACAGTGGAAGTTCATATTCCGCTGGTCAGATGTTTTTATTATTATTATTTATTTATTTATTTATTCATTTTTCTATCAGTGCATATATTTTCAGTAACAGCCCCCCCGGATAGTAATTTTAAATCCCAGTAATTGAATCGAAGATTTGCTGATATCCGGGCAAGCGAGGAGTCCGTGAATGCGTCTTAATCCAGCCCAGCCGCTGAGTAGCCATTTTGGTCCCACCTAAAACAGACAGACCCGCTTCACTTTGGGCCGCTGGAGATGGGAGAAACCGAGCCTATGGCGAGCGTTTCAGTCAACCGGACTTTTTAAAACCATCTACCAAACGCCAACCTTTACCACCGAAGGTCATGTTGTTTTTTTAAAGCGAGTCATTTCTGGGGGGGAAGGAAGAGGACTGTGGTGATTTTTGGAAGTGACGACCGACTGCGCCTTCACGTTAGTTTAGTTAGCTTCACTGACTGAAAGCCGAACGGACAAACGGACTCCGGCCAGCCCGTCGAGTCAAACAAAGGTTACAGCAGGAACATGTTATCTCCGCAGCTTAAACACTAAATACAAGTTGATTGTCAATTTTATTTTAGTCTTTTTGTACGCTCCGGAATATCTCAGGTGCTTGGCTCTAACACGTCCGGTCTGGGCTGAAAATTGTCACGATCCATGCTCAGCCTGTTTTTCCACAGAGAGCTGCAAAGCAAAGCAATAATAACCAGACTTCTTGGCTGCTGGATTTAAAGCTGAGGATTATTTCTTTTTTTTTCACCTCAAACGGCTCCTGGTTAAGGAAGACCTAATAAATGATGTCAACAAAAACTCCTTTACCGACGGTCAACGAGAAGGTGACGGAAAGTGTAAGTAGATGAGCTTGTTTATCGCACGTTTCTCTGAATTTCACTGATTTGTTTTTATCTTTTGTGTGCATGTGAACCCAATTGGTCCTCGGTGCGAGATCTACTTTGATTGAAAATCGTAAACAAGTACAACTTCTACGTCAAATCACGCCCAGTTCATCCTTGATGTGGACGCATCTAATTATTCTAGGCGTAATGCTTTACTTGACGCCAAATTTGTAATGTTGCAGGTAATACGGTGCAGTCGGGATATTTAGGCCTAACCACGAACAAAACTAAAGTACTTTGCCTGCTGATTCTGGCAGGCAACAGTAAGTTTCTGTCTCGGCTTCCTATTGGCTGCCGCAGCTGTCACCAATGGGTTTCATCCAATCAGCTCCCAGATTGGAGCCTCTTTGGTTCCGCCCCTTCGTGGAGGCTTGAACCCCCCCGCCCCCTCCCCTGTGAGAAACAAGTAGGTTGTGACGCAACCATCTGTACTTCCGGCCTGAAATTTAAAAAGATAAAGGGCCTCGGTAGGAATTATTTCAAAACAACTTTTTTTTTCAATCCTTTACGTGAACTGAAAATCATCAAGAATAATATATGCAACATTCATATACTCTGCCGAATCAATTTGCTTAAATAAGAATGTTAAACTAAGTGCATGTTTTGTGCGATTTTACTAATAAGAAGTAGTAAATAAAGCTGTGCACTCCACAAATCTGGCATTATATATATATATATATATAAATCCACTTACATTTTGCAAAAAAAAAAAAAGTAAAATGTGATTGAACTTTTTGGTCAATATGCAAAATTCCTATAAGTGACCATCTGAACCCATGGTCACCATGGCAGCAGCATCATGCTGTGTGAATACCTGTCTTCAGGATGGATGGAGCTGGACAGAGGAGAGAATGTCCCTTTCCAACACAACATCCACTCTGAAGATGCAGCTGGAGCTCATCAGTTGCATCAAAGCGTTTTTATGTCTCACAAAGGCCCGTTGTAAGAGAATCTGGGTCAAGACGTTCAAGCTGATGATCTCAAACGTTCTCCATCCAGTCTGACTGAGCTGGAGCTGCTCTGGAAGGGAAGAAAGAGATGGCCAACATTTCAGTCTTTCGGTGTGCCAGGCTGGCAGACAAACGCTCCATTTCATTGTTGATGCAGCAGAACGTGGTGGTTTTGTTGCCTCCAACTGTAAAAGTAACACTTTTCAGATTTTTCTGCGTAAATGTTCAAGGAAACCACCAGGACGTGTTTCTATTTTTCAAATTCTGTTAAATTTCCCCCCCTTCCACAGAATCCCATTAAAGTCCATCGAATACTGTGGTCGTAGCTTGAAATCTGTAAAGGTTTACACTGCTCTCTCTCTCTCACCCTGCTGTGAGAGAGGACGTGACTGATGGACCCCGCCGCCAGCTCGCATCCCCACTGCTGCCAACGTATCGACTTTGTTGCTTAGCAACTTTTCAGGGTAAAAGAAAATTAGTATCGGTCAGAATCGACAGGTCACAGTGATCGCCCAGAAAACTGCAATCAGTGCACCGCTAATAGAAGGTTCTGCTGCTTTGCCACAACTAAATGGAGACAGACGTGGCTTGTTGATTTTTGTAACCCAGGTCATGATGACGCGTGTGCCGTTAATGGCCTATTACAAATATGTACAAAACTTTAATATTTTGCATATGTCAAAAAGACAAAATTGTTCAACTGCAGTGTTTGCATTAAATAAGAAACGCTGTTACAATCGCACGTTTGTTCACACAATAAGTCATTAAAAAACACGATTTTCAACTTCCTGCTGACTATTATTTTTTTTTACATTTTATTTTTATATGTCAGATAAACGGTTTATATTTTTAGATTAGTTTTAACGTTTTTTTTCCTTAACTACAATAATAATAAAACATGTTTTCTTTCTAGTAATGTTTTATCAAGCCTATCATTTTAAAACAAGTTGCTTGTTCCCTAATGAAACAAATTGGCTCAGAAAATGAAAGAAAATATATTTTGGGGAAATTCTCAAAGATTTCCTTTTTTTTTTCCTTTGCGTTTATTTTCTCATTGACAAACACAACCAACCACTCAAACACTTCCCAGTGTCGGCCTGTTTTATTTTTCTCCCTTCCTGCGGCTGACGGCCCCAAACACCTGCGCGTGACCTGCTCCGTCCTGTGACTCGTCTCGGCCGCGGCTGGCGGCTCGCGGCCAGCCGGAAACACGGAGCACAAACTGCTCCCAACTATTGATTCAGCGGGAGGAAGCCGCTTCTTCAGCTGGTGTGCGGCGCCCGCTCTGCCTCCGCTCTGTGTCAACAAACCAGCCAATAAGGAGTCGTCGCTGGTACTTGTAGCTGGTACTTTTAGCTGATGTTAACGCGGATAAGAAATGTAGGACTCCATGTTCCCACCGCGAGCGAAGCGGCCTTTATTTTGAAAGCGCGTGGGGCCGGTTCCAGGTTTGGGCGTGTCAGCATCGGGCTTGACTAAACGGGAGCTTTCTTCTCCTGTGTGGTCACTGGAGCTCTGGAGTCCGGACGGACCGGCATTGTTGGAGCTTATCAGCGGGCTGAGACATGACAGGGACCCAAGCAGCCAGGAGACACCGCAGCTTTGTGAGTTACTTCCCCGAAAGAAACGAAGGACTTTCATCAAGGAGTGACATATTTCACAAACAGGAAGTCGGGAGCTGGAAAATGAAACAAAATGTTAGGGTTAGATGTTGTTTTTGCCACAGTTTGGTTGTAATATTGAGTTATTTTGTTCTGCCCGCTGTGACCTTATCCTACTTTATGATATTTTTATCTGCAGTGCTGTTTGCAGTCAGAAACCCAAAAATATTCCAGTAGAGAATGAAAATCCGTCTGGCTGAGTTCAGGGTTAGACTGACCTTATTATGGTCTATTGATGTTTTTCCATGTCTTCTTCCTTCAAGCTTTGACGTTTTCAGGGTCGAGTGACTCGGATCGGAACTTCAGCTCCTCCACTGAGTTTGTTTTTATTTTTAAGTTTGATTTTATGTTCTTTTGCTTTTCATATTTGGTCCCTGTGTAAAAAAGGTTGATCTGTGTGGAAGTTTGAACTGTAAAAGTTAAATTTCCCACTTTGTGACAGACCCTGAACATCCAGCGGGGGACCTGATCACACCCAGGTAGCTGCAGACATGTGGGGATGGACTCTAAATGTTTTGAGGATATTTTCTCTGCACTTTGAGACGGTGGTCTGAGCGCAGTCTGCCCAGAGACACGCTGACATTTTTTCCTGAAAATCTCCCAGTTAGAGAAAAATCAGTTATACAAAAGGAATTTAAAATGATTAAACTGATATGTTAAAAGACAAAAAAGGTTCTGTCCTTTCAATCTTGTTTTCTGTGACGTGCTGTGGATGATGTCCGACAGGGTGAAGTCTGTCCCGATCAGTATTGGAACTGTTTGTACTCTGCATTTTCTAAAACGCCGTCCTTCAGTCACGCAACTAGCGAGGTATTAAAAAGTTGTAAAGTCATTAAGCTATCTAGTAAATCTTTTTGCTTCTCCCATAAAAGCTTTGGTGCTGACTTTTTCTTTTTGAGAAATGCAAAAGATGAAAGTCGAGACGTTTATTAGATTTTTTATCATAAGCCTAACATTTTGTTTGTCTTAAATTTGTACATCCGTCCCTTTTTTACATGTTTCTATATTTTATTCTGCCAGTAGTGTTTTTTTTTTATTCCAGTTTTTCTTTAAGAGCTATAATAAACAGATTTGAGAAACATTCTTCATAGCTTTTCTGCTGCAAGCAGTAACTTAGTTTTTGCAGTATGTATTGTCTCTACAGTAAAACAACGTGGTTACATGACTCCAGTAAGTAATCCCTACCAACTAGAGCTGACTTGGTTGTTGTGATTTGATCTAGAGTCATCAATAATCTGTCACGTTTCATAAGCCAGTCAGACCGAATGTGGAGCAGAGCAGAAGAATGTGAACTGAGGGTTTGGCAATTAAGAAAAAAAAAAAAGACAACTTAAATTTCAATAGCCAAATGAAAACTGTCATATGACCTCCAGTACCTCGACAGCACATATACATGTGAGACTAAAATCAGAACAAGTTGAAAAGTCATTTTAACTTCAATTATAAAGTATGTTGAGAATAAATTAAGTTTTTTCTGACATCAAAGCAGGTCTTAAATTGAAATCTTTATGTTCTCTCTTCAGTGCATTCTCTGCTCAGTAACAGTAGGAATGCACCATTCCTACATCGTTTTTCACTTCCGATTCAGATATGATGTTTATCGTCAGCCGATACCGGTCAGAAATACACTGCCAGCTTTCCTTTAAACTTTTTGTTTAAACGGATATAAATGTGCTCAATTCCAAATGTAATTGCTTCACCAGTACAGCACGCTTTTCTCTCCACGTTCTTCAGAGCTAACAGCGTTAGTTAGTTGGTAGTTAAGAGGAAAGGGGGAGTAGACATCAAGTTTGTCTGGAGACAAAGGGACAAAAAAGCCTTTTCTGTGACGCCACAACTTTTAAACTGTGACTCTGCTTAATTTTCGGCTGCACCATAACAAAGCTTATCGGCCATCATTGTATTTCATTTTTGTTTTTTAGCTTGACTACATTCCATAAATCATGTGAGCAATAAAATTATTTTCTGTACCACTTCCAAAGAAGTTTTTGTCGCAGCTTTAATCAAAGTGGGACAAAAAAAAAAAAAAAACCTTAAAAAAACACTGAGCCTGACGCCAGAGCAGCCACCAGTCAGATTTCATGAAGACAACCAACAATTTTGATCAGCATTGTCAGCATATTAATTATTAAAGCTGTGATGTAATGTTTTCATCTGAGGTGTGTTGGTTCTGGTTGTTCTGTAGCATAAGTTATGTGCTAGCAGTTTGTTCACCCAGACTGATTAATTGATTGACCCTTCAGCTTTAATTCAGACACACGCCTCTCTGTTAAGAGAGGTTTAGCTAAACGTGCCTCAGGTGCTTTTCCGTCAGTCTTCCAAGTGACGTAAACATTTAACATCCCTCCAAAGACCCCCATTTATCAAACTTCAGCAAAAAAATTTTGAAAATGAACTTGGATTATTTTATTTATTTATTTTTAATCTGCTGACAGAAAGTGGATGTGAACCAAAGGATGGATTTATCCTGGATCTCTTAAACTCCAAATGATCTAATTTAAAAAATGTTACCCAAGCATGATGTGTGCTAATTAAAAGAATCCTGACCGTTCTGTCTGCGACTAAAGAAGAGACGCAACCAACAAACTGTGTCTGTTTGAACTGTTCTATTAGTGGTGCTCCAATCGCTCTTTTCTGGTCAATCACCAATTTATTATTTTTTAACTAATTAAAAAAAAGCCTGACTTTCCAAACTTGACCAATACCATTTTTCTTTCCTTTTGTTTTTTCTGAAAAGTAATTAAATATATTGACAAAGTTGTTAAGTTGGCAACAGTGGGATGATGATTGTTGACCACTGAACATTAAGGAAACTGGTGTGATTTATTGATGCATTAGAATGAAAAGCTTCCACTTGTAACACAAAAGTACTGTTAATTCGAAAGGTTTTGTGTGGTTGTATATGACAACACTAACATTAATTTCAATGAACCTTTTGAAATTAAATGACATAAAGTAATGCATTGAATAGATTACTTGATGTCCAAGGACAGTCCAAAGCTGAAGTAGTTTGTAAGGATTCTGTAGTAAAGAGGCTGAGATGTGGAGCTTTCAGGATGAGTCAGACTGATACCGAAAACAGAAATCTGTTTAGATGAAAAGATAACAATAGTCACATCTCTATGGGTGTGCTGATTACTGAGGAAATGACTATGACTTTATGTAGTGATATTTCGAGCTGAACCGGTCATATTCGTGGTTTATTTCCAATCTCGATTTGTTTTCTTTAAGAACCACAAACCAAATGAAACTAATTCTCCAGTTATCCTGCTGTAAACAGTGACTCATTGTTTACACCTTGTGTGCGAAAAGCAAGCTTTTCCTCGTTTAAAATTTAACATCACAATTTCTTTTTCCGCTTGAAGTTGTCTTAGCATTCTGTATTAGCATTTGGCGTGACAAGCATTGTGTCTCTTTGAGTACTTCATTGCTAAGCTAGCTGTTAGCATTTCTCTGAGCCTTCCAGAAGGCTGCCAACATTTCATTTTCAGCATGTTCCATAACAAGTTGAAACTTTGAAAGAACAGGACAGACTGTTAGCTGCACTTCATTCAGTCTTCTCGTTGTCTGCTGAAAGCTGTCTACTGCAGCCTGAGTAAAACGGACACGGCTTAACATGTTCCTTTCAGTTAGCTTTAGTAACCACATAATGTTGTGGTTAGCATGAAATGTTCACACTGATTGGAAATGTGTCAGATCTTGATGTTCCCGACTGAGTAAGCTGAAAACGGCCCAACTCTGGACAAAAAAAGCAGTTCTGCTAGTAATAAGAGAATGTCATGAGTTCAAGTACCAAGTCACACCTGATGTGTGAAACAGAGGTGACTTACTGAATCTCTGCAGTTTAGACTGATTTAAGTTGCAGCCTTGATTAAATCAGGCTTTCTGGCAGATAAAAAAAAATAAAAAATTAATCAGTGATCAACCAGTAAAAGTGGATTTCGTTTAATCAACAGTTTACTGGTACTTGAAGCCCTGCAGCAGTTCTCTAAGATTATTGTTCTGTCTGCAGCACACATCTCACAGCAACGGGCGCCAGGAGCTCGGCACACGCTCAGGTCGGACCGGCATGCGATCCCGCAGCTCGGACGAGTCGCAGCAACCCCATGTGGGGAACTATCGGCTGCTCAAGACCATCGGCAAAGGCAACTTCGCCAAAGTTAAACTTGCCCGGCACATCCTCACTGGCAGAGAGGTAAGCTTCAGAGATCACCGTCTTTTAATTTCAAAAGTAAGTCCTTTAAAGTCAGCTCCTTCAGACTAGCCAGGAGCAGTTAGCAAACATCTGGTGGAACAGGGCATCTGCTGAGCTCATTATAGGAGCTGCTTGTTTGAGCAACGCTGGTAAAATGTTGCTAAATGTTAATAGAGGGGCCATGTTGTGCTGCTTTTCTGATGGTGGAGTTTCAGAAATACCAGGAGCTTCTTAAAGAGACACAGTCCCAATTTCAAGGCATCAAGTTACACTCAAATTTCTTATTTGAGTTATGTACAGCATTTTTATAACTACTGAAGGTAAGTTACTTTAGTGTGCTATAAAATGGCACCATGTGCCTTGAAAACACGATACTGCCCCTCTAAGTTGCAGCTGTAGAAATGAGAAATGTAGTTATATGAAGTAAAATAGAAATGTGATTTAAAATCAGATCAGAAATAAGGGAATGTAATCAAAATCAAAATGAGAATTGAGCAAAATTCAGAAATAAAAATAGAATTCCACATTTAAAAATTAAAGTAGTTTTTGTTTTGATTTGAAATGTAAAGATAGCTTGTAGCAAAATATAGAAATTGGAAAAATAGACGGTGTGAAATATAAAAAATAAATTACTAATGCACAAACTAAAGTGAATGTGAAAGGTAAATATTGTAGATCTAACTGTATAATTATGGATTGCATTTAAATTGTACGGGAATAAAGAATTGAAATCAGACGCTGCTGCTGAGCGTCTGATTTCAGAAATGATTGACATTCCACGCCGTTGTGCTGTCAGACGGCCTCTAACCTCTGAATGGTAGCACTACAGTCACTTTGGTTTATAGAGCTCCAATTCCTGTGTTGTTTTCAATTACACAGGTGTTGGCTCCGTCTTTTTTCACACTTTTCCACCTCTGGCTAAGTTATCATTTTTTTCCCCTCTCCACAGGTGGCAATTAAGATAATAGACAAGACACAGCTGAACCCAAACAGCCTTCAGAAGGTAATTTGCTCTCTCTAGTCTCTTCTATATAAATTGTACCTAGCAAGCAGCTTCTGCTGGGTCCGTATCGAGATGTGACTGTAACCTTGTGGCTTTTCTGGCTTGTGAAGTTGAGATGACTCGCCGTTATCATGACCTTTGCATTCGATTTGAATTTAAAAATTCTCTGATCATTGTCACTACACATTGAAGAGTTTTTTTGTTTTGTTTTTTCTCCATCATCTTAACCTCCATGATGAATAATGTAATTGCCGTCTTCCTGGCCGGTGGTCGTAGCTGGGTTGGTTTTCATTTGCTTGTTGCAGCTCTTGGCAAAAGTCCTTGTTCCGCTTGAACTTTTTTTCACATTCTGTCCTGTTCCAACCACAAACCTCAGTGTGCTCTGGTGTGTTTTTGTGCCGCGTGCCCACACAGTCACACTGTGAAGTGGAAGGAAAATCAAACTTTTCTTCGTTTTCTTTAACAAAAATCTGAAAGGTGTGGCGTGCATTTATATTTAGAGAATCACCATTCAGTACCAACTGTACACATTGTAGTTGTTTTTTTTATTTTTATTTTTACAAAATATCTTCAGCTTATTCAGATGGAATGGAAACTGTCAGTTCAGGTGAACTATCAAAGCTTACCAAGGAAGCTTTCCATCTGGACTTTGACTAGACCGTTAGAACACATAGATATACATTCACACAGCAGGCAAATGTGACCCAAACCTGCTTTGTTTTAGTTATTTTTTTTCCCAAATGTGGCCTATGTAATATTTATTTAAAAAAAAATTTTTTTGTACATTTTTAAATTTAATTTTTCTGGCCACAATTCCAAACTTTAACCCCCCAAAATATTCAAACTGCCCCACTTGCATATGTGAAACTAAATCAGACATGATTTGAAAGTGTCTACAGTTTGAAGGGTCAGTCTATAATCGGAGCGCTGCGTTCTTCTTCTGCAGCTGCGCGTCACTTTGGGGTTATAAACTGTTCAGACAGAAGTCTGTTTGTGGTTCCATGTCATTGGTAGCATTAATAAAATGCTACCAAAAGGGAAATAAAAACAGGATAACAGCAAAAAAAAAAAAAGTAAATATTGCATGTTGCCTAATTCATTCCAGGCTAGATGCATTCTGTGCAAAAATAAATACATAAATTAACCTTGGCATTATGAGAGTTTTTGATTCTCAATAACATGGCAGCAGTATCTCCCCTAAACATCCCTACATTTATTGTTTTTTTCTGTCTTAAATTTAATTCAAGGTGGGATTAAAAAGGTCTTAAAAGAAAGTAACCTGTAATTTCGCTCTTAGATTATCAGTCTGCGAGTTAAACCTGACCTCCGTTTCCTGTGTCTTTGATGGAGGTGTCCTCACTAATAAGGCAGACGAGTGTTTTGTCCCATCATGCCTCTGTGACTCCCGGCCCTGAAGTTTTCGGGGAAATGAGAGCAGCATCGACTCGTTCTTTTGAAACCGTCATGCAGATGAGAGCGGTGAAAGGCTGCTGTTGATGCCGACCCTGCCTCCCGGCTCTCCTCTCTGCCCCTGGCCTCCCTCGGTGCTCGGCCAGTGGTTTTCCATCAGTTTTTCCAAAGCTCCATTGATCGTTGCCCTCGTAGCTCAGGGGCCCGGGCCCTTTGGCGTTTGCTGTGACACAAAGACGCTGAGTCATGACGCCGCCGTTCACAGAAACACAAGGCGTGAAGCCTTTGTGTCGACTCTTGTTGTTTTTAGGTTCCTGCTTTGTCACCGACAAGAAAAAAAACAAAAACATAATTGTCAGATTATTCCTCATGCCGTTCCAGAAAGTATTTGACTTCTTTTCATGTTTATTTTAAGGAAGCAGGGCACGTTAATCCTAAAAAAAAAGTGTTTGAATCCTTGAAGTCATATTCGTGTCACATTTCCATTTATAGACAAACTGGCTGTTTTCTCTTTTCCTTTCCTCGTTGAGAAGAAGGAAATCCAGTTACAAATTGGTTCAGCCAGGCGTTAACAGAAGCTTTTTCAGCATTCACTCATTCTTTTAAAATACTTTTACCTAACAGTAAAAGAGTATGAGCTAATTTGCCAAACTAAAGTACATTACATTCTGTGCGCTTGAATGATCGAAATATTTTCCTGGAATTCCCAATAAAGTCACAATTTTGACCACTAATGAAATGGATTATCAAGTCTGTTGCCTGTCAGAAAAGCTCAAGAATTGAAATTATGAAGCTAATTTAATATTATTTAAGAAGACTGAGTGAGGGGGAGTTAACAATAGTCATCTCACTGTTGTCAGCTTAGTGTCTTTCTCAACTGACAACAGTGATCTTAGAAATCACAAAATCTATATTCAGTGATTTTATTTATTTATTTATTTTTTGACAAAAAGACAGAAATCGGTATCTGTTAAGATCGGAATCGGGAATTGAGGCTTTTTAAAGATCTCTGATCGGCCTGAAAACTACAATCGGTGCTGTCCTACCTGGTAATAATTCCCTTAATCTGTTGTAGAAAGTGGCGTTCCAGCTGATTTTAACCATTTGGTCGGGGTGACGCAGGATTTAACCATTTGGTCGGGGTGACGCAGGATTGTCAGCCAGCGCTCCAGAAAAACAGCCAATCTGAATTAGAGTGAACTTTTACGTAACAGTGCAAATGGTTGAGAGTCTGATGGCAGACAGGAGGGTGTTTTTGTCTTTAGAGCCTAAAGATGTCCGTTCAGTAGTTTAATTGTTATGCGTGGTCCAGCTGACGCATCTGAACTCTCCAAAGCTCTGGATGGGATGTCAAAGGTCAAGGTGGGAGTTCAGCACTTAAGTCTTGATGAAATGTAAACAGAGGAGGCTTAAAGCTAACTCTGTTAGCATACACACTTTTCTCATTATTAAATCACAACAACAAATCTTCATCCAAACCCTGTTTTTATCTTCCTACTGCATTGTTTAGTCAGGCATCAGGTACTGCCTTTAAGAAGTTTTTTATTTTTAATTAACCAGCTGTTTTAAATCAGGATTATATAACTTCAGCCGAAGGCGGTCGTTGTTGAAATGAATTTCCCAAGCTAAAGTTAGCATGTTGACCCATTAACGTCTGTGATGCCCCAGTATCTTCTGACGTAAGCTAACATTAGCCAATATTAGCGCGACAGTGAGCCCTCTGAATGTGGAATGTAAATCTGTGCTGCTGTTTTTGACATGGATGAAATTTTTTTCTTTTCTTCTTTTTAGGAAGAAAACAGAAGGTGGAGGTTAAAAATGTTTTTTGTTGACAGATTTTGTTTTTCATAACTGCTTTGCTTAGGTAATATATTTGAACTCAGATCCTTTTCATCCAGTGTGTTAGATTAAAAGGAAATGTAGTAATTTATTTGAGGTTCTCAAAGTAAAAGCTCCCCTATGTAAGGAATAACAAAGAGATAATTAATCTTCAGCGCCTCCCTGTTTCAAACCTGTGTGGGAGGTTGAACCTTTGAGGCTCATTTAAGTCGACATGTTTTTTGGTTTTCTGACATGAAGAGAACTGGGGATTTACTGAGCCCTGCATATGTACTTAGTGCCCCTTCAATGTCTTTCAGGTCTGGCCAACAGTAGCATAACAGCAGTATTGGCGCAAACTGTATGGATTGCGATGTAAAATAAAATTTATACATTGATTCCATTAAAAAAAAAATTAAAAAAGGAAAAATATATCTGAAAAGTGTGGTGTGCAAATGTATGCAGCCTCTTCATCCAGAACCATGCATTTTTCTATTATTGGCAAACTAATGCCTCAGATTATACTGTCAGTGGTGACAGTTTCATAGTGTGGGGTGAATTTTCTTTAGCAAGCCATCCCACATTATGATCCGCTTTGTTAAAAAAATGTTTTTGTTTCAGGAGGGGGAGGGTAGAGTGATGGTCATGTGATATTTGTGCAGTAAAGTGCTAGTGAGCGAGTGAAAGAAAGTAAGAAAATAAATGTATAAAGTAAGAAAATAAATATATAAAGTAAGAAAATATACATATCAGTTATCGGTATTAATATCGGTGCATCTTAACTTTTTTTGTTTTTGTGGAACAATTTAGTGCATGAGTAAACCAATCTGAACTTCCCACACCAGGAGGATTTCTTGTGCTGAAATGTTCTGGCCGGGCGCAGATTACATATTGAAGTGTCCTCATCTGTTAGTTTAAGGATTTGTTCTTTCAGGCTGATTTGTTTGTCCACATGAGAGCTGAAGGATCCCAGTGATGGGCTGAGCTGAACAGAACCTGTTCAGAGTCCTCGCTGAGATAAACAACGTGGCTTTGCTGCAATAAACAGTAAACGCACATCTTCGTCTGGGTTAAAACTCCAGAGGCTGTAATTTGTTGTTTGTGACTCATCTCACAGCCTGCAACCGGATGGAACGGAGGTTTCCAAAAGCACACAAATAAAAATAAAACCCAGGAAGTGATCTAATGTTTAGCCCACTCAGACTTGTTTATACATCCCGGATCTGTTGTAGTGGATACAGGAAACAGGAACATGTAGACTTAGTTCCTCCTTTTGGTCTTGTAGCTTGCGAAAGCCAACAGCGCAGGCCTGTGATTTTTAGCTTGGCGCTGTGTGTTACTTCCCCTGAAGGCGCCCGATATTGATGACAAAATGGATGTAGTCGGAGCACGCCGCACATTGTTGCAGTGGCACGTTTTTGTCCTTGACCTAGTTTATTGTGTGGTTACCTTATTTCATTCCACCGTTCTTTTCCCCAACCATTTTATAGTTTTTTTTTTCTAGTTTAAATTTAATTCAAGCTAGCATCAAAAAGGTTTTTAAAAAGTACTGAATTTGTCTTGCTGAAACCTGCCAATTAGCCCTGTTGTGATAACCAATAAATCAATTAATCGCATGATAAATTGAAACGAGCTCAATGATTTTTCATTTGCATGATTTATGTTTTTTCTCTCATCTCTTTCTATCAAAAACTGGTAAAGTCTTCAGAATGGTGCTTTAGTTTAATCTGGGACAGTTTTGTCTAAAAAGACTGTTTCATTTTGTTTATTTCTGTGATTTAATTTGAATATTTAAGATGTCTTCCGGTTCCAGTTTTAAATGTTCATGAGAATTAGAAGTTTATTAGTCTTTGAAAATATATTATTTGCTTTATTTTGCAATTGCCATTATTATTACTCAAACAACATTATCGTTTATCTCAATTTCTGGGAAAATTTAGCGGAAAAGTAACATTGTTTTATCGTTACAAACCTTCTGCCGATACGCTAAAACAACCAAAGAACAGCTTCCTGATTCCTATTTATTTTGACCTGTAAAATGTGCTTTATCTATTCACCTGCATTAATTCTATTTCAGACCGAATCTGCACAGTATCTGAGGTTGAAGCGATATTGCCAGACACATGAGGCATGAGCTAATTGTTCTCTACTTTCACACGGCTCAGTACCAGCAGAAAGAACCTGCAGGTTTTTACATGCAAAACTCTGGCGCAGTAAAAGATGGGATGACCTGCTGTCGGCTGTTTGAACATGACTGTGCAAAAAAAAAAAAGGAAAAAGCTTCTGCTGCAGTTCAGAGTAACGCAGTCAACTTTGAGTTTGATTCAAACTAGCCTACACAGAACTGATCAAATCTTCTAGTTGTCTTTCTTTGCCCTTTTCTAAGTCTATGTAGGTTGTGTTGAGCAACATTCACAACTGGAGGGTAAATTAGTTTTAACCTTTCAATTTCTAAGCTATAGAACAGCTAATATTTCCTAAATGATCATATGTATCTCAGAGGCGTTGAACATTCTTGAAACGAGAGTCGAGATGATAAACTTGGTGACATTCTGTACTATTTTAATTTTGTACCGAATGGGAGTCGATGTACCGCCATGGAAAGCTGTTGGACTCGTTTTACCAGACTCAGTGTGACTCACTGAGCTGCATCGCCTTGTATCATAAAATGTTTGTCCTGACTACTCACTTTCAGATCACCTTTGATGAAATGATAAGCTTGTTGGTTTGCTGGTCAGAACCCTCCATGCCTGGAAAACTCCCAATCAGCAGCTTCGTGTCTCAGACCGTTTTAAAGCCTCAGGTCTCATTGATCAATCGGTCGAACTGGAGTCCAAACACACTCTAGTGTCTTACTGATATGAATCAGCAGTTTGTCTTCTGGGGGTCGCTGTGAAGTGATTACATCTAGAATCAAAGGTTGCTTTATTTCCCAAAAGAAATATGGATCAGACTTGTGTGCTGTTTTCAAATTCGAAGCCTCGCTGCATTTGAAAATGGCCCCCGCTGTTTATCACCATCTGTTAGCCTTTCAGGCAGAGCGGTGTAGGGTTCTGGGCAGAAAGTGTCCCAGTACGTCTACCAGCCTGAATCTGTCCACACACCTCTGCCTGTTGCTCACACTCTCTGCCTGCTGCGGTGTCTTTATTTATACCGCTGGGCCAGGGCGAGCCGCTTCATGCGTTCAGTTTTTTGTCTTTAAATGACGTTCACACCAAACTCACTAGCACACCGTGTTGACATACGTCCAACAAACAGGGGAGAAAAAATAGCAGGGAAATGCTTAGTTTTGTGAATGCTAATGACAAGAATGCCAATAGCTCCGTGTGCTAGCAGCATATATTTTTCATCTTGGTTGCAAAATGTGTATGTTTTTGTACACTTTAGGCTTAATTACTCTAGAATCTCTGTACTCCAGTTAAGCATTAAGTGATTATTAAATCAGTTGATTATTTCAGGAATCGATTGATCTAGTTGTTGTTCAGCCTTACTAGTGAATATACTAGCTCCACTTTTTAAATAAAATGACTAAAATAAAAACGCTTTGAACCCGTGCTCTCTCCACTGAGGCCTGTTAGTGATGTAATGGTGGTGAATCTGGACAGAAAAAAATATTTATTTTCTGGCCTAGATCTTTTGTCCATAGATTAGTTTGTATGAATTAAAACGGTGTATTCATGTAAGTTTTTCATGAAACAAACTTTGTTTGACGTGTTGCAAGTATTCAGAGTGACTGACACAATTATTGTGGTGAAGCTGATAAATCTTTTTTTAGCTGTACTATTTCATAAAAAACACTCTCTTAACAGTCCAGTGGTGTATTTTTACAGTACAGACTCTGAGTCATGCAATCAAGTGTTTCACTGGACCAGATTATGCAAATAGAATAAATTGCAAATCACTTAAAAAAAGAAAAAAAAAAAAAAAAAAAAACCCACAAATGACAATATTTGAAAACTCCCCAAAAAAAGTTTTCTATAATATTCCACTCTGATAACAATGCACTAGACATCAGATGTTAGACAATCAGACGTTCATCTGTCGCATCATTTTGCTCAGTCGCATAAAGGAAGTGGTGGTTTGTTTTTGTGTTCCAGTTTCATCTGCAGCGTTTGGTTCATCAGCACGCCTGACCACGTCATGAAAGATTGAACCCTTTTTAGCTTTTTATGGGCTGGAAGAGCGTGGCGCAGTGAACAGCTGGTTAATAATACATTCCTCGCTGTGCTGCTCTGAATGTGCAGCCAAATGGTGAAGCGGTTTTGGCTGCAGTTGCTCTCCCAGCTCCTCTGATTGAATATTTGTGAGATTGTTCCTGGTCAGACTGGTTAAAAGTTTGGCAGCTTTTTGAAATTATATCAGCCATATATCTGAGGGAAAACTCATTTGGGTGTAGTTTTTTTGGAGTTTATAGAGAATAAAATGCATTGTGCTTCATAGATCTGTTTACCCTGGCATAATTTTTTATCATAAGATTTTTTGGGGGGGAGGGCAGGAAATCAGTAAAATTTCTATGATGAATAATAAAATTTCTTTATGAATTATCATAATAAACTTCAGTCACTGTAGAAACCATACAATACAATTACATGGATTATCATGATTGGGTTATAAATGGTACAAATGATAGATTTGGTGGTTTTCTGTGTTTCAGCCTCATTTTGGTAGATTTAAATTAAATACTTTTATATTTTTGCTAACTCTGTTTGTCTGTAATTTACAGCTTTTCAGAGAAGTCAGAATAATGAAGATCTTAAATCATCCCAATATTGGTAAGTGGATCTTTCATAACTTCCACACAGAGAGACTGCAACATCACATTGGAAGGATTTAGGATGCGAGATGCTTGTGTCCACTTGGGAAAAGCTAAAAATATCATTTTAAAAGTTAAGATCATTGCTCAAATTATGATCTGCTAACTTTATATGTTTCTAACGCACACATTGCCACACATTCAATTAAACATTTTAAAAGGTATTCCTGGAAAAGCGACGCCACTCTTTTTAAGTTGATCTTTGTTTCAGCCTCGCTTTCTAAAGGCTCAGCTGACCAATCACGGCTGAGAACCAAAACTGCTGCTTTTAGCCGTCTAGTCCTTATCAAAGAAATGAGGTTGATTTATGATGGCAAATAAAAGATGAAGGATTCTGCTAAAATTTTAGTTTAAAAGGCAGTATTATGTAAAATCCACTTTTTTGACCTCTGCATCATGTCATGTTGTTCTTTGACCTCACAGAACAGACTTCCCCCACTCAGCTCCTTCAGACTAGCTAGTAGCACTTAGCAAACAGCTGCTGGACCTGCAGAGCTCATTATAGGAGCTTCTTCTCAGATCAATGCTGGTAAACCGTCAAAAGATTAATAGAAGAGCCAAGTTGTGATGACTTCCTGAATGCAGAGCTCCAGACAGAGCAGAGGTTTTTAAAGGGACATAGACCCAATTTCAAGGCATTAAGTTACAAAGTAAAATTTCTTATTTGATATTTACAGCATTTTTCTAACATCTGAAGTTAATATAGTTACTTGACTGTCCTATAAAATGGCACTTTTACCTGGAAAACACCTAATGCTGCCCCTTTAAGTAATGAGCTTCTATATGTGTATTTTATGGATATGGGACATTAAAGATGTTAAAGAATCATTACAAATGCAGAACATTATTCTTTATAACCTAATAGGAATGTTTTCTTTTTTTGTATTAAACATTTGTTGATTAGATTAGTTTTATATCTTGATTCCAAAATACATCTGTTTTTAGTTCTGTTTTTTTTTTTGTCCTTTCAATATAAACTATTTAACTTGATATTAAGTATATAAATTTTTTCCCTCTGTTTTTGACAAATCACTTAACCTGCTGTATTGTATGGCTTAGTCAGTTTTTAACATTTGACGATGATTCAGTTTTCATTTCCTTGCTGCTCGCTCCATAATTTCCTCTGCAGGAAACGTGATCAGAATCAGAAGAGAGATCCCTCTCTTCACCTCTGTTTACTCTCCCACCTTTTCCACATGTAGCAGGATGAGTCTCAGCTGGTATCGGCAATCGGAAACAAACAAACAAACAAAAAAAAAAGAAAAACACTCCATTTTGTTGTGCAGTACTAAGAGGTTTGATTTGCCTCATCATGCAATGCTTACATTACCGCCTCACCCACACACACACACACACACACAGGTCAATTTTTATTCCACGTGGCTCTTGTTCGTGTCCATGAATTAGTTTCTTCTCTCCCCTCCCGGTTTTTTCAATATAATTGAATTCATGGTTTTCCCTCTGTCTGTCCTTTCTTTCTGCAGTCAAGCTGTTTGAGGTGATTGAGACAGAGAGGACCCTCTACCTTGTCATGGAGTACGCCAGTGGAGGTGAGCTGAAATCATTACATCTCATGTTACATAAAAACCCCTCGTAGCTCCGCTCGGTCCGCCACATTTCACCAAATTTTTCTCAGATGGATGGAGGGATAACATGAATGCCGCAGAGTTTTACAACCAGCGGCAAAGCTAAAATTTTTCTAACGGTGTTGAAGCAAAACGGATGAGAAGTAGGATTGCACTGATTTGTCGGCCAGCCGATAAATTGGTCCCAATTTCCTTAATTTTCTGAGATCTGAGATTTGCTGATGCCTTTAGATGAAACTGATCTTGTCTGTCTCCACAAAAATGTAGAAATCAACTTTTCAGGCAAAAAGAAAATCGGTATTTGCCAAAACCAGCAATAATCCAGAAAACTGCTTAGCTGTTTGTGTTTTTGCTCTCCTCACTAAAAATCAGTTGTAGCTGCTGCTACTTTGCTCCAACATTCTTTAGTTTAAAAGAAAAACTATAGCGTTCACTCAAATGGGGGGGTGGAAAAAATCTGATTTACACAATGTTAAATGAAAAAATAAGGTAACAAAACTTAACATCAAATGTTATGAATTGAGAAACCTGGTTTGGTTGTAAGGGAGGAAGAATATGACAATTTTATATTATGCTGGCATTTATTGCTTATATATTAGGATTAAAAAAATAAGTATTGCTCTGCAGTCAGTCTGTATTTATTAGAGTTATCCTCCTTTTCTGTGTCTGCAGTTGGGATGCTGAAGGTTTTGTATTGTTTAAAGGTGCAGAAAAAGTCTACATTTGCTCAACATTTTCAGGCTTTCTCTATACTTTTTTTAATCAAATGAATTAAATTAGTTTTAGCTTTGCAGGTGTTTTAAAAAGTAAATAAATTAAAAGGTTTTTAATTCTGTGGTCATAAAAACTGATTCAGATATTGGGAGCTTTAATTCCTACCAGATTACATGTGAACTTAAACATCTTCCAGTTTTATGTACTTCTTGTACTGATCCGGCAATATTTCCAAATGAAGTTGAAATAAACTTCATACTCCAGTTGGCTTCACACAATACTCCCATAATCAGCATCATCAGTATTTTTGATGAGCTTATTTGGAAGATTAGATGTATTATCAATATGCAGAGCATAAATTTGAGATGCTGGAAAATTATATTCTGCCATTGCAATAATAACCACACATATAAACAAATCCTGTACGTTTAAATGATACACTAGCATTTTTCCTGCGTTCAGGTTCTTGCACCTTAAATTTCCACCTGAAAATCAAAGTTTTATATTTCTGTTCAGCTCAAACTCCAGTCGCAGTTCTAACGCAGTGCTACACTTTAGTTTTTTTCTTAGATAACTTGCTAACTTTTTGTCCTTGAATGTTTTTCTGTGTCCAGAGCTCAGCTGGCCTGCTTTTTGGGTGTGAGCTCACTCTCTCTATCTCTTTCTCTCATTGGCTCCTGCGTCTGAGCTCACAGATGATTAAGCTTTCACATCCAAACACACACTTGCACACACACACTGTGCCGGCCCCTGCAGGTAATCTCTGGGTGAGGAATGGGGCTTCATTCATGTTTTCAGGATGTACAGAGGAAGGCTTTTTGATGGTTTTGTCTTTTTTTTTGTTGTCTTTTTTCCCCCCCAACTTTACCAGGCTGGAATTAGTCTGAATCAGAACCAGCTGTAGCTGTGCGCCGGTCTAGCGGTGTGTAGACGTGCTGACCGGGGAAGCGTCTGCTCCTGAAACTCTGCAGCAGCAGCTTTGTGCCTCCAGGAGGGGCTCAGTTTGGAGTTAGCGCACGTCAGTGTGCTCAAGAAATGCCCTCAAACCATGCACATGGGGGGCGCATTGCGCCAGCTGCATGAGGATGTTATTTTTATCTGCTGAGCTTTAGAAGTCGTGATTCGCTCGGTTTCAGCACGTCTCTCTCCCACTTGGAGTCCCGACCTTTCCCTGGTCGCCATCAGGCGCTTTCTGACTCCCTGTCTGTATTTGCAGGTGAGGTGTTCGACTACCTGGTTGCACACGGAAGAATGAAGGAAAAGGAGGCCAGGGCTAAATTTAGACAGGTACCTACCTTTCTCCCCCTGCAGTGTTCTGGTTTCACACCTCTGCTCCTGACTCCGCCTCCTTCTGCTGCCTGTCTGAAGACTGAACAGAGAAGTTTAACCAATAACACACAACACTCAGCCAAGGGAAGAAGCTGGCCATGTGCCGAACGACTTAAGCCTGGTGACATCATCAGTCCTTCCATAGTGAAAGGTTTAAGTAACATGGCCACACACTCAATAAGGTGTGGCTGGGTCCGTCACCTTAACATACATATATTTTGCTAGATGATAAATTGTCCCAGAAGTTATTGCAATAACCACTAAGTCATTTTAAGACCTTTTTCAACTAATATAATGATAATAATAATGTACAACCCTCTCATCAAAGATCAAGATACGCTCATTTCTAGCAAACATTTAACACTGCAACTGGAAGACATTTTAAATATCTCAAATAAATAAAAAAAACCAAAAACGAGAAATGAAATGAATTATGAGTCTCTGTAAAGAAATCTATCCTTCAAACAAAGGGCCAGTTGAGAACAAAGCACCAGACTGAGGACTTTTATCATCCAGTTTTTGGTAGAAAAAGACACTATAAAAAAAAAATAAATGTTTGCAATAAATAATTTATCATGCGATGAATTGATTTATTGCTTATCAGAAATGGCTTAGTGGTATCAACCTTCAAGGCCTCTCTGGTCTTCTGGTTCTGATTTGCTCTGCATCACCAGAACCAGCAGCATTCAGCTGCTATGCTCCTCTAGTCTGCTGAAACACAGAGTTCCTTTAAATTAAGGCTTGAAATCTATTTTTACTAGAGCTGCCTTTAATTTATAATAACTGTAGTTTCATAAATTATAGTCTAGTTTTGCTCTCCTGTATTTTGTCACTAAAAAGCAATATCTAACTTTTTTGTTTTTTGTTATATTTTGTTTACTCTCAATCGTGTCAAACACTTTAAACTGTCCTGATGGTGAAGTATGCTTTCCAAATAAAGTTGCCTTTCCTGGTCGTTGTAAAGGAAAGTTTTTATGACCCATCTAAATTACAGCAAACATGTAGGAGGTTCTCTGGTCCGACCAAAATTTAGATTCAAAACACAACTTCATGCAACTTTTCAAAGGATTTACTTGTTAATAAAATTTATACTTGCAGGACTATTTCGTGTTTGCCACATAAAAGTTTGCCTTTGTAATGTGCCATAAAAAGCTGAAGGGGTTTGAATAAGTGTTGAGGGAGGCAACAGGACTCGGCCTTTGTTGGTGAAGAAAAGCCTCTGCCTGTACTTTCTCACCTCTCTTCTGTCTTTAGCGCCACCTTCACAGAGTATTATCTTTCCTGTTGGCACCGACCGCATCGCGCTCTCCACCACATCCTTTATCACAGTTTGACAAGTCAACAGCAGACACTGTGCTGAACTCTTGCTCGTCTCTCCCCCTCCCACCCGTACAGATCGTATCGGCGGTGCAGTACTGCCACCAGAAGCACATTGTTCACAGAGACCTCAAGGTGAGTTCAGCAGCGTCATCACAAACCTGAAAACACACGCAGGAAGTTCTCACACTTCTCAATACACAGTTAAAGTATTGAATAGTGGAAATCTACAGTGGGACTTAGAGATCAAGCTTCACATACTCTGGAAAAAGTATATATGTTTTTCTTTTTTAAATCAGTTTATTCGCTTGAGTTAACAAATGTCATTATTAATTTACATTTTCTTACAACACATTTTCTTGAGTGAAAAGGAAGCTGGAAGAAGAATTATCTTGAATTAATCTGTCACTTTTTTAATAATTACGGAATAAATTTTCAGGGCTATATTCATCCAGTTAACAATATAAGTTGCAAACTGTAAATTATTCTCCTTATTGTCACCTCAAAAGTGTCTGATCTAATCTTTTTTTTTATTTCTAAAGCGTTTTGAATTGATTTTTAGTAGAGCATGTCTTTAACTCATCCTCCAAACTATTCCATAATTTTACTCCATGCACCAAAGTGCACAATGTTTTAAAGTAGTATTATTAATTTTAGTAATAGCAGGGCTTATTGCTACCCCCTCCTGGAAGGCCAATCGTGTCTGACTTGTTTGGTAGAAAAGGTCCCAACTTGGCCTCATCATGCCGTCGTACCAGAAAGCCGTCTGCTGACGACACTCGTCTTGAATTGGACCACTGCGTCCCACTGGAGTGTGTCTGTAAACACACGCCCACGACTCGAACCGTTCTCACGTTGCTCCTGCTCCATCCGCTGCCTTGCAGCTCCCTTTGTGCTTTCCTTGTGTAAATATTCATGTTTCCATGATTTATTTATTTAATTTATTTTTTTTAAGCCGTGGAGCAGAGAACGTCGTTCGGCCAAGAGGAGTTGCTGATGGTTTCCTCTGCGGATCATCAATGATCCATGAAGAGGCTAATGAGACAGGAGCTCAGAGCAGCCTCCTCTGCCTGCTCTACATGTGCAGTCATGTAGCAACATTAGCAGCTCCTCCTAATGGTTCAAAAAAAAAAAAAGGTTCACAAATTAACCCCTACTGGAAAAATTGAAGTTAACTTTAGGTAAACATGGAAAACATAATCTGTTCAGTCAACAGAAGATCAACAAAGATATGTTTAACTCTGGATAAAGGACCAGCGACACCTCAGCCTTGTGTGTCTGTTTAATGCTATGGTTACTGGACAAATAAACATTTTCTCAGAATTCTCATTTGTCTTTTAAACATCATGTCACCAGCATTGGTCACTTTAAAATTCTATTTTTTTGTTTGTTTTTTGTTGTTTTTGTTGTTTTTTTGGGATAACCTGCCATCAGAACTTTGCCACTCATCTGCCGTTTTTTGTGATTCAGCTTTCACAGATTCCCATATATATATATATATATATATATATATATATATATATATATATATATATATATATATATATATATATATATCCTTTATTCTGTTGTAAGTTGAGAATGCAGAGATTAATAATGGTTTGATCAGAGATGTTGCAGAGTTGGTCCTTTTTTTTTTTTTTTTTTTTTTTTAGCTTAATCACAGCCTCAGTGAGAGTTTTACCTCCATAGGCCGATAGAAAACTGGGCGGATGAAGAGATAGTAGCAAACATAATAGAGCTTTTGGTTATTACTAAATGATTTGGATTGTTCAGTCTTGATTCCTTGTTTGGTGGTATGTGATGGGTGCAGTACCACTGATTACAGGAGCAATCCTGTTTCACTTTGTACATGTACAACACACATAATGTGGATCTTAAACAAACGGATGTACATTATGTAATATTTTCCCCTTTCTTTTATTCAAAGGCGGAGAACTTGTTACTAGATGCAGACATGAACATAAAGATTGCCGATTTCGGCTTCAGCAACGAGTTCACTTTAGGCAACAAGCTGGATACGTTCTGCGGCTCTCCGCCGTACGCGGCCCCGGAGCTTTTTCAGGGGAAGAAGTACGATGGGCCGGAGGTAGACGTCTGGAGTCTGGGGGTCATCCTGTACACGCTGGTCAGTGGCTCCCTGCCCTTTGATGGACAGAATCTAAAGGTACGATCAGAGTGTGTGTGAATTCATGCTCCAATTACTGGCTACGTTTTAATGGGTTTCTGACTTGTTCACACAAGTATTTTCTCCAATTGTCTCTTTTATCTGTTGAGTTTGTAATGTTGGAGTATGTGACATATTTAAAATGTTGTGACAGTGTGGAATGAGACACACTTTGTGGCAAAACTTACTGTTTTGCCACAAATGCAAACTAGCCTTAGTATTTGTGGCAGGCTAAGTTGAAGTGTACCAGCTGGTAGTAGAGAACAAGAAGGGAGATAAGCATGAGTGATTGACAGCACTAAGCCCCTCCTCTTGGCCCTGAGTCGTTGTTTCTGACTGAGCACGGCATAATAATTGGTGAAGGCAGAGGAGCTGTTTTTTGTTTTTTTGTTCACAGATTTTCTGTCTCATGCTGTTCTGGCACAACATAATAAAACATCTTAACATACTCTGGAGCTTTAATGAGAACAATAGATTTGGAGATCTCGTTGCAAATATTTCTAAATTTTGATTGCAAGAATCCCTACCGGGACTGATTAGCTGAGTCTTCTGGTGTTATATATATAGCACATCTATTTTTAATATATCCAGTTTGGTCTGGGTGCACAATGAATGTTTTTTTTTTCTAATGTCTTGCATGATGACTAAGATCTGCATTCTTTTCTTTCTTTTTTTAACATTCTCCCTTTATTTTCTGCAGGAGTTGCGTGAACGTGTTCTAAGAGGAAAGTACCGTATTCCTTTCTATATGTCCACGGACTGCGAGAACCTCCTGAAACGCTTCCTGGTCCTGAACCCGACCAAGCGTGGTACTCTCGAGGTGAGGGAGGACACCGAAAATGTAAATATGCTACTTGCTTCTCCCTCCCTGTAGCACGTTGGAGAATGACCTCCTCCTCACTCCCCCCTCTGCCCTGCATCATCATCTCCAACGCCCACAGTGTCCTGCTTTCTGTGTGTATCTGGCCCACACTCCTCCTCCTCCTTTTTGATGTTGTAACTATGAATAATACATTTGAGCTGTTTTTCTCTTGCTGGTTTTTTTGTTGTTTTTACCAAATTTTAGTGCAGTCAGCTCTCTTCCTTCATATCAAACTGATGAAAGAATAGATTTATTCTGTAAACCAAGCACAAATAATTGTTAAATTCCTTAGTTTTATTCACAAACTGTTAGTTCAGATACCAAATACACCTCCATGCGCATTATTGCACACCTTGGGGAAACGTTTTCACAGAAGCGAACTTTGGCCTTCTTTATCTCATTTGAGCATTCAACCAATCAGCGCCATGGGAGATAAATGGCGCTCCTGGATTGGCTGTTTTGCAAACACCATGTAGCATTCCACTGAGGTACATCAGCTACCCAGAATGCATCTTGTTTTTTTCTGAATATTTTAGATGTTGTATGAAAAAAAAGTCACCAAATAGGTGAAATTTGTTTGCAAATAATTGCAAAATATGTAACTTTCATTCTTGATCTGGATAAAATTTGGTTTTTAATCTATTGTTGCACAATATTTGAAAGGCAGCAGAGTTATCCTTCAGCCTGATCATCTGTCAAAATAAACTACAGATAGTTCATATGTCATACCCCATATGGTAGTCATATGGGGTATGACTTTTTCTTGTTGGCTTAGAAAGAAGCTAAAATTATAATTTTGGTTTATTTGTAGCACATCGTCTGTGGGTTTTGAGGGAGTAGCATGCCAAAACTACAACAGCATATTAGTCATTATACATTGAAAAAAAGAGAAAATTTCCACCAAAAATCTGAGATATTGAGATCAATCTCAGAAATGTTTGACATTTGAAAGGAAAAAAAATCTTATAAACAAGCTTATATCTTCACTGATTTGTTAAAAAATAAAATCCAGCCTAACAGAAGCTGTTGGTCTGCTGTTGATGTGACGCTGTTGACCTAAAACTGTGACAGTTACATCAGAGCTGAGGTCATTAATTTGGACAGACCCTCATCAAAACCTCACACAGCCATTGATATGCTGCAAATTAAAAGCAACACTTCATCCAGACGGGATGCAGTTGAGTTCAGTATGGATGTTGACTGATCTAATCTAAATATGATTGGTTCACATGCAACCTGTAATTCCTGCAACACTTTTACAGCTGTTTACCTGTGTGTAATAAACAAAATCAGGCAAAAAAAACAATAAATCTGGTATGAATGAGGCTTAAATTGTCATTTTGCTTTCTTTTTAGCAAATCATGAAGGATCGGTGGATCAATTCGGGATTCGAGGAGGACGAGCTAAAGCCTTATACCGAACCAGAACTGGACATCACGGATCAGAAGAGAATAGGTAACCAAAGACGACGGCTGTCCTCTTTGGCTCGTTTCTGGTCCAGCGTGAAGATGTGTGAATTTTGAATGTGCTAAATGTTGGAACACGTAAGGCTCCGTAATGCCGGAGCAAGGTCATTATGTCGGAGCCGAGGAGCTTAAGAAGGAGGAAACGTAACGATGAATAAATGAACACGAGCCGTGCGGCTGCATGCACAGAGCGGCAGAAGCCTTCCTCATTACACGAGCTGGAAATAGAAGGGGGAGCTGTTGCATAACAGCAGCTAAGGCTGGCTGTCTCTGAACATGTGTCAGTGTGAACTCACCATCACTGAGAAGAAAGCAAAGATTTAAGGAATGTCTGAATTCTGATCACAAATCAAGCTTTTACAGGTAGAAATATTCTCCATTTTAGGTAGGGGTGATAAGCTTAGCAAAATGTCAGCTTTATTCTTTGGTAATGCTAAGATCATATTTGTGATTATACATTTCACAATGACCCTCTATAATAAAAATATATTTAACAATAAGGACTTGACTTGGACCCTGTCTAAGGGCTCCTGGAGTCCGTTGTGGTTCAACTGGGAGGCGTGAGGAACTGTTCAACTCAATGTTTGGGCCGTTGGAGCGCGATGATACAAACAAGTCCCACGCGAGTTGTTTTGGGCACATTTATCCACTGCTGAAAAACGACTGAGACGAGTCAAGGCTGCAGAGTGGGTGTTGGAAAGATGAAATCTGAGGCCATTTCCTCTGGTTAGTGTTGGATCGAAAGCTTCTTTCACTTAACACTCAAATTACCCGTCTTTCCTGTCTCTAAATATTTCTCTCATTTACAAGTGACAGAAATATTTTTTTTGTAGCTCCAATATATTTTCAAAGTGCTACAATTATCTAACAATAATTGTGCAACCGTTCCTCTTGTGAAAGTGTCATTCTCTGCAAACAAAAAATATATATATATATATTTCATGTTTATATCAGTTTCCTATTTAAAAATGTAATCTTTCAAAAAAACCAACCAATTATGATCAGCATTTTTGGTGGAAAAAAATCCTCAGTTTACATGAGGTTTTCTCACTTTTACTTAGGCACAGTTCTTAAACACAGTTCTGAACAAGTTAACTTCACTTTTACACTGTTAAGCAGAATGTGAACTGCATCAAACTTCACCTCAGTTAAAAGATGAAGAAGAGCAAAATACATTGTTACCTCACTGCCAACAAAATGTGAAAAAAAGCAGACATGTCTGCACAGCATATGTTTTGGAAAAAAAAAATCAAAAAAGCATTTTACATAAACCAACAGAAAGTCATTTTATTAAATTAAAGCCACTTTACCTCTGACTAAAGCCTAATAACACTAACGTGCATGGCTTTATCGTTCATTATTAAGTGACTGTGGTAAATGATTACAAAGTGATCTTTTAATAAGGAGCAGTTGACAGTTTGTCAAACGTTAAAGCTGCCAGTAACACCTGCCTCACTGACATGATGCTTTATATTGGAAGCAGGGTGGTCACTGTTGATCCAGTTACCCTGTCTTTCACTTAAAGAACAGGAAAATCTCTATCAGAGGCTGAAATAATTTTTTTGAACTGACCATTCAAAGTTGGAAAGAACACCTGTGTCTGTTCAAATCTACGCCAAACCACAAGAGGCATTTACGTAAATCCCCCGAAGTCTTCGCCCATTTCCGACTTTAGCATAAAGTAAGGCATCTGCTGGCTGACTTATTCTACTCTTTAAAAATTGTGTCCATTCTTTAGTCATGCCAACTTTGTTGAATATTTTTCACAAGCATCTTTTCTTTTGGAAGTCAGCAATTCGCAGTTCTACGGCGGAGCTGAACTGTGAAGCTGAGAAAGAAGCTGAAGTGTTAGAGGAGGCTGCAGGATGAAAGTGAGAAAGATGAGATCAGGCTGAGGAAGATGACAGATCCAGTTCTGCTTGGCTAGAGAAGCACAGCTTGTTTGTTTCTTCTTCTCTCTGATGCACAGGAAGTCGGACATTGCTGAGAGAAACTCCGGCTTGTCTCCAGGTGGCGTTCACCTCCATTTTTAACATTTAATACCAGACTATTAATATGATATCGCTGCTGAACAGCCAACACATCAGGTTCTCATTTTACCACCAGCAGCTACTCTTCCTGAAGAAGTTTTCCACTTTATCTTACAATACAACTACAAAATTCAACACATTTTAATGCTTTATGTTTGCCAGAAAGCATTTATTGGACACAACAAACATGTTCCAGAAGGTGTTCAGATCAGATGGGAACTAAATTGATACTGCAGCTTAACCATTATCCAAACCCAGACTCTAAGGGAGGACAGGCTGCTCAAAGGCTTTGGTTGGTTTGACAGTGCAGCTGAAAATGAAACAAATGCTGCAACTTTGGTCTCTAATCAGAGTTTATCAGAGTATTAGGTGTGAAAACACCCTTTGCATTTCCTGTATTCTTCATAAAATAAAAGTTTTATCATTTTATTTAAAGCAGTGTATAGTTACGAATGTTCTTTAAAATATTAGGGAAACATGCATGTTTTTATGCTAATTCAACTAGCATGAACTCTGCACACACCTCCTCATTTTTGGCCCAAGCCAACAATGTATCAAATATAATTATTTAAATAACTTCCAATGGTTCACTTGAAGCCTTGTGTCCTCTGGGTGCATGTGTTCATCTTAAATTGTCTCCTTGATGTTGCTCATGCAGATGTGATGGTGGGTATGGGCTACAACCTGGAGGAGATCCAGGACTCCCTGGCCAAGATGAAGTATGATGAGATCACGGCCACCTACTTGTTGCTGGGCAGGAAAGCCTCTGAGGTACAGAGACACACACCGCTCCACTTCTCTTGTTGACAAAAACATTTTCTGTCCTGCGTGTTTTGACTTATCATGCATATATCCATGTCAGCTGGAACCTAGCGACTCTGCCTCCAGCAGCAATCTGTCCCTGGCCAAACCCAGACCAAACAGTGAGCTCAACGGCCAGTCGCCATCCCACCTCAAAGTGCATAGGAGCGTCTCCTCCAACCACAAACAAAGGCGTTACAGTGAGCAAGGTGAGCAGCCTGCAGGTCCTTCACTTTGTCACTGCTTTCTCAAGCAAAATGAAGGAAATTGGGGCAGGTTTACCTTTGCACCCCTGATTGTAACCTAAAGATTTGATGGTTAACGCGTTTGAGTAATTATTCAAGATGGCTTTGATGAAACCATTTAAAATGATATTGTTGCTGTTCGTTAGCTGGTCAGAACGTTCCTCCAGGGATGGCTCATCCAAAGAGAAGCCAGACCACCACAGCAGATAACGCTGTGAAGGACGAAAGTGGAGCTCAGCTCCGGAAACCCGGCAGCCGAGGCGGTCCGCCTTCCAGCCCCCTGCTGGGCAACGCCAACAACCCCAACAAGGCTGACATTCCTGAGCGGAAAAAAGGAGCCACCACCAGCGCAAGCGTGAGTAACCCACAGACCCAGTCTGTAGAGCCCCGTACATAAAGGGCCGTCTACTCCTGATATCAGCTTCCTGGTTTGGATTCTTCTCCAAAGATGTTTTTTGTTTTTGCTGTTGTCTTCCGATCACATCTTTTAGTGACGGTCCGTTTCCTCCTCGTAAAAAGAAACTGCAGTTATTTTCTTCCTCATATCATCTTAAAAGAATGAATCTGATTGAGAAGGAAAAGTTTTCAGTCCACTGATTTATTTCTACGGGGATTTAAAGTTAGCTGCACAACAGAACAGGAACATACTGTTAAAGGTTTCCAGCCTGGAGATGAGGAAATGTTTTCACCTCTGGATGTTTTTCATGCCTTGTCGGTGATGTAGAAAGCAACAGCGCAACTGTAACTTGATTGAATGTATTTCTTTTGTTTAGAGAAATTTATTGTCAATGACGTTACTGGAACTGAGCCCTTAAGTTTAAAGTTAATTAGACTCAGCTATGTACAGTGCTAAAGTGCAAATTACATAAATTATTCACACTTCATAAATGTTGTGGCAGGTCTGTTTAATCTCAGATCCTTGGATTTTTGTCAGACAAAAGTTTGAGTTGTGCGCAACTCACAGCGTTTTGCGACTCAGCACAGTTAAGTGTACTGAAAAGAAGCTAATATTTTCTAGCTAGTTAGAAAGGAAACACCTAGCAGCTGGGATATTGGTCAGTAGTTTGAGTTCACTCAAGCTGGTCAATGACCAGCTTGACAAAGCTCCTTGCTAGCTAGCAACAAGGTCAAATGCCATGTGAGAAGCTCAAAGCTGCTACCAAAAGCCCAGAAAGAGAAGTTTTGATCCCCTGCATGTCTTTTGTACATCACTGTTGTGATATTACTTGTAAATTTTACTTATAATGATCTTAAACGGGTCTCTAAAAGTCTTAAATTTGAGTTGTTGCAACCTGCATAAACTCTGTATGTGCATGCTTCTACCTAAAGCTTGTGATCTTGAATGATGAAGTTTTGACCTGGAGCCTCTGTCCTCCTTTTTTGCTCTGCAGAATAACTCTGCTTCAGCAGGCATGACCAGGAGAAACACGTATGTCTGCAGCGACAGGAACAACACGGACCGCCTCTCCGTCATCCCCAACGGGAAGGAGAACAGGTAAGAGCTGGAAGATAATCAGCTGTGATCTCGCAGCTTGGTCGGAACAGCAAAGTTTCAATTTGAACCGCTCATTAGGAATGTCCAATTTATTCCTTGATTATTATTTTTGTTTTTCTTCTTCTGTTCCTCCTTTTATTTCCACCTTTTATTATTTTATTTCTCCCCTTCCCCCGCCTGTTTGTGATGTGGGGTGTGTATTATTTTTCTCCTTCCTCGTTTCGGCATGCCCAGCATGACTGAGATGGCTTGTGCCACTAGCCCCTCTTCTTCTTCTTCTGCCTTTGCTGCCGTCGTTTTCGGCGCCTCGTCCACTTCGGTACAGCAGAGGTATCAAACCGTCAGCCCTCTGTATGCTTGTCAGGCAGACTGGGCCACCCTGCCCCACTCCTACTACGCTCTGGACAGCTGCTCGGCCAAGTAAGACAGCAGGGCTCCCAGTCCATAAACTGTCTCCTGTTATGCATCAGCCCCGTTTTGCCCTGCTAACCCACACATGCAGCGTCATGCTGTAACCCTGCAACTAAAGCACGGAATACATTTACACAAATATCTATTAAATATATGTAAAAAGATCTTCAACATGTCAGCACGTTTGAGGATAATTTACACTTTTCAGCCTACAAACGACTTACCAGCAGTGAGAATGGATCAACTAACTGAAAAAGTGGTTCTAATTCAACTCTGCTGCCCATATGACTCATGTCTTTTTGGCCCGTTGATTTGTGGTTTTGTATCAGACATGGGCCAGATCTGTTTTTTTCCAAAATTTACACTTTCCTGTGTTACAGACGCTCCATTTTCCACCAAGGAAAACGGGAAGAGGCCAGATTGAATGTAAATAGTGTTTGAAGCAATCATTGGTTCTCTATTTAAGGGGACAGTATCTTTTAAAATTGACTTTTTTGAGCTTCACGTCATGCTAGTTATTCCCAAAAACATGGCACCCAAGAAAATAAACACCACTGATCCGAGTTGCAGGTATCCGCTTTGTCTCTTTCCGACTCCATTGCCTCAAGCTAACCACATGGACATGTCACTTCCTGTTACTAGTCATCATTTTTGTTGCTCAGCTTCAGAACTGATCAACACATGACAACATGTGCAGCATCAGTCTTGACTTGTATCGTTGGGTCAAAATTAAATTGGTGGAAATGAGCTTCAAATTTCTGATCAGTGAATCTCTGGCATTAAGCAAACAATATTGTTCTATTCCATATTTCCATCCTTCCCCTGATGATCCCCTGCTGCTGCAGCGAACATCAACAACCTGCTCCTGATCTCACCTCAGTTTTCCGCTCTGAACTCTGACCCTGGACTCCTCATCTGCTCACCTCCTATTGGACGTCAGAGGTCTTCTGCTCATCATCTGTCCTCTGTTTCTGTTCAAACGTTAATCTCTTCCTTCACTCTGCACCTCTATGCATTCATGTCCGGGTTGGAAAGCTGTTCTGGGTTTTATTTTTCTGTTATAGTTTGAAGTGAAGTGAATTTACATGAAACAAGTTTTCCTTAGTTTATGGATGTCTGGCTTTTAACTTGATTTACAATTGAAACTGGCTTAATTGTTGTAATTCACACTGTTGAAAGAGAATAGGAAGAACTCTAGTTCTAGAAGTTAATCATTTTAACTGATTAAAAATGATAAAAAATATATATATATATATATATATATATTTACTGGGACTGGTTGATAAGTTTATTGTAACGATTCATCAAATTTTGGGCTTCTGAAAATTCCATTTCTGGGAAATCTGGATGTTTTATTTATTTATTTATTTATTTGCACTCTAAGATTCCATAGTTCAAAGTGACGTCAGATTTCGGTTTCCATCTCGTTTGGAAAGCCTGCTTTACAGTTTTAATTTAGTTGGACGTTGAATTTTTATCACAAGAATAAAGTTGTACAACATTAGAATCAAAATAATCCAATAAAGTTATAATACAACCAGAATTAGGTCATTTAATTATAATAAAGGAGTCATTTTATAACAGCTCCAACACGAAAAATAAATATTTAAACTCAGGTAATACTTCATCTTTTAACATATCGTCATCAAATTATCAGAACTTTGAAACAACTGAAAGAACCACACAGACTGAGTTTGTCACATCAAATCATGATAACTCCATATGCAAACTTCCTGCTTTTAGTTAAATTGTGTTTGTTTTGTTGCTAATATTATAACTATTCTTGAAATTAAACAATAATACCTGTATACTGGCCCAATACTCCACTGTAGAACTCAGAAAAGTCTCACTGAAATAAAAGCCAAATTTTTAACATATTTTCTCTTTTTGTCAAGAAATTTAAAAAAGAAAGATTATAATTGGATCTAGTGTGAAAAATATTGCCCAGTCCTGTGCTTAATGTTTTTATATTTGTGTTTCTTTGGTTTTCCAGCCATGTGCTGAAATATGTCATTGTTTCAAATCCACCTACAAATACTAATACATTTTTATGTCTGCCGCCTCAAATCCAAATTCAGTCGCAGTTTTTGTTTCAAAACTGGAGCTGTTTAAAAATGTTGTTGTGCATCAGATAAAATTATTTTAGGTCTATTGAATATTTTGCATGTCATCTGACTACACTTCAATAACTGGAATGCAGGTGAAACGTGAAGCGCCGTCAGACCATGACCTCTCCCTCCTTCCGCCTTGACAGTGTTGCCGTGTCGCCCGGTGGCCAGAGGAACCCAGTGGCATCCACCCACAGCATCAGCAACGCCACCACGCCCGATCGTCTCCGCTTCCCCCGCGGCACGGCCAGCCGCAGCACCTTCCACGGCGGCCAGCTGAGAGACCGCCGCACCGCCACGTACAACGGCCCACCGGCGTCCCCCACCCTGTCCCACGACGCCACGCCGCTGTCCCAAACCCGCAGCCGCGGAACCAGCAACCTGTTTTCTAAGCTCACGTCCAAACTCACCCGCAGGTAGGTGTCCATGCTCCTCAGCAGGTCCATCAGACTGGGCTGGAGTTCAGCTCACAGCTGTTTTAAGACATGTCGCCTATTACTGACTTGAACGTTCAGGATGATCCCAGCCCTTTGCAGACGACAACCTCATGTGGTCATTGAATACAAAGACGTGTCCTACCTGTGTCCTTGCCCGGGGGACAGCCATGGTGGATAGGAAAAAAAAGAGGAGTAAACTTCCGCCAAAAACTAGAAAAAATGTGGAAATATCTGAGTTTGAAAGTTGAAAATTTGCAAGAACAAAAATTGAATTTTTTTTTTTTTTTTTGGTGGAAACTTGGTTCCTTTTTTTCTTCCTACAATAGCCCTAATACAGCGTCATGTATGGGGGAGCACTTCAGTCTTTTGATCATGATTTTTTTTTACTATAATTAAATCTTAGTAGTTCATGTCGCTGACTGGTTGGCTGCTGAGAAACTCTTTGAAGGAGCTTCAGGTGGAATAATTGGACTACAGCTGTAGGAATAGGAAACTACGAAAAATGAGGATCAGGGCAGCTGCCACTGACCAGATAAATATTCAATAAAGCAACATACAGCAGTGTTTGGGTAATCGTTGTTTTTGATGTAACGTATGGTGAATCGTAAATATATTCGCACCTCTTGACATTTCTCAAATCACAGTCACAATCAATCACAGTCACAATCACAGTCACAATATTTTATTGAGATTTCCTACTATAGAACACTTTTTTGTGAGCATCAGTTTTCAATTCGTCCTACGTGTTTTCAAAAGGACCTACGTAGGTCTGGACTTGAACTGGACCGTTTCAAAACAAAGAAATGCTTTGATCCAAACCTTTCCATTGTAGCTTTGGCTGTATGTTTGAGTTCATGGTGCTCTGCCATAAAGTTCTTATTTTGGCCTCTTGGCTGCTTCTCTGAATAACTGGCTCCTTTTACACCATCTCTGTTTTGGTGTACAGACAGCCAAAACTGTACAAAAATATTTAAATCTTTCTCAGTCAATGTCTTTTACCCAGAATTCCCCATAGTTTTAGCTTCACTAGATTCAAATTTCTTATTTAAAATTAATTGAATTATTTCTTTTTTATATAGAAAACTCTTAGTCACATAAAATCCTAATAAACTCCACTGAAGTTTCTGTTTACTATGAGAATGTGACGAGCCTAAAAGGGGTGTTAATATTTTGCATGCTGGCACACACTCCAACTAGTTTCTGCTTCTCCTTTCCTTCAGTGTTTAAGGCAGAAACTCATTTCTGAGAGCAAAACCCAACATTAGTTTAACTTTTAGCTTCCTCATTGGTGTGTATTCCTGTTGGGACCCCGTATGCATTAAAAACCCAGCTGACGTCAGTGAAGCAGCAGCAGCAGCCAGGTCAGCGACATCCAACGACGACTGACCTAAAAACCAAGTGTCATAATCATTTCATGATGAATCAGAAGGAGAACCGACGATTCCGACCACCGCCATTTTTTTTGTTCATGCACTCAGCCCCCTCATGCCCCTCCCTTACTCCTCCCACTGTCTCTTTCACCATTCTCACTGTTTCTTTGTCTGCCTCTGTTGTAGAAACATGTCATTCAGGTTTACCAAAAGGTAGGACTCCTGCTCTGTTCTCCGCTCTGTACCAACTATAACCAGATGGGCCTCACTGAGAAGCTGCGACTTGGTTTCTGAGCCGAGTGGGGCTGCTGGCACCCAACTAACACCCTGCTCCGTTTGGGGGCATCTACACACACAGCTTCCAAGCAGAGAAACGTTGCTAAATCTTCCAAACGGATGGTGTTAAAAATTGCTTTAGTGCTGATGTAATGAAGTAAAACTGTGTCCTCCGTTTTGCTCAGAGAGAAGCCGTGTGTGCAAATGCTCTCTGTGTGGCTGCGGTTGGTCTGAGTGGCTGAAAGCTGATTGGTTGAGCCGACCAATCAGCCGATAAACCAACAGCAACTACGAAGCAGCTTGTCACTAATCAGTCGTCAGTGCATGCATGGGGTCGCTTCTTCCAGCCGCCATTGATTGTGGGTCGTTTTCACCACACCGTAACACAGCCGCCATTAGACTGTTCCTTAGTCAGTATTCTCCTGCATTATTACTATTCTAGGTGCGCAGATGTACGCTAGTCCTGGTTTGCGTTCTTCTTGATTTCGACTGATGAATTGGACCAAACGACAAACTAGTTTGCTCCTTCTTAAACACAACCTGTTTTTTGTTTTTTTTGTCCCTTTTCTGTAAAAGTTTGGTGGGCGTTTCATTAACGTATTCATTTACATTCTTCAGTCCTTTCTGCCGATAAATGATACACTGTATTAAATACATCACACAGTTATCCTTGATCAGAAAGCTTGGTGCCATCAGATGACGACGTAAAGATTAGATTGTTGCTAACAAGTTGCCACAAATCTTCGAATCTCCACTAAATTTTGATTGCAGAAATGCTGTATCAGCCAAAACATCAGATTGCATTTGGTTAAAATGCTGCCATGAGGGCCGGCTTTACGTAAAATAAATCTTTCATTGTTGAAAATGAACTGTCATTTTTTTTATACATTAGGCTGTATATGTATGAATTGATGCATTGTAGGTTTATTAATTTATAATTGTGATTTTTATGTCCATAAAAATCCCCAAATTTTAATTAATTTCTTCTCATATGGGCTTCTGAGTTTTATTTGGGCATTTATCATATCATTTATCGTGATAAATTTAAGAATTTGACTTATTGTTATGATAAATTCCAATTAATGCTGTTTAAAATGTCAGAGATTAATCATATTTTGAGCCACAATACAAATAAAGACATTTAATTCATTTAAATAAGCTCATAAAATATAAGCTAAAAATTAGAGCAAATTTCATAAGAAGTATGCTTAAATGTAATTTCATCAATCAAAGCAAAGCAGAAATTCACACAAAATCACAACAGATCCCAATACTTTATTGTGGTAATGCATAATTGTGAGTTTGTCGCAAATATTCCACAAAAACGGTCCAGAACATCGGATTGAAGTGATGCCAACTCCCGGCTGCAGGTGGCAGTATTTGTTTCTTCTACTACCCTTCTGCCTCAGCCTTACTTGATAAGTTCTCGTCCATAATTGTTGCAGCGAGTAACAAAGTCACATCTACCTGTCATACATGAGTACAAATATCACAATTATTTTTGGGGAAATATTTCTTTATTGGCACCACAAAATCAATGATTTTGATTGATTGAGATTTAATGTATTTAATTTTAAGATGGGACGCAAAGAGAGCTTTTGCTATATACAGTTTGCTCCATTTGATCAATACATTTTGGTACTATCAGCTTTTTGGAACATTCAGGATCTTGATATAGCCCAAAATGAAAGGGTTGACACCCCTTCTGTAGAGGCGAGAAAACCCCTCCACTCTCCTGTAAAGGTTTTAGACGTTATCTGTCGAGACTTAAAAGAACGGACGGGTTCCTTCAGAAGACGTAACAGACGATGTGTTGACTTTATGAGATGTAACGAAAGCTTTGACTTGATAAAAACAGTTATGGATCATTTTCTGGATCATTCTGTAGACTGTGGCATGTTTAGCACAAAGTGTAGCACAGCCACTGGTGAGCTCTTGGAGTGCTGACCTGAGGTCAACAGCGGCCTCCGGTGGCTGCTCTGGGAACCTTCATCTTCATGACGATGCAGGGCTTCCTGTCGCTCTATTCCAGTCTCACTCAAACACCTTTCACTTTTTTCTGTTCTCATGTCTCTGGAGGTGAAAAAATGTAGTAAAAGGTGTGAAGCCGTTGCTGTTTATTCCCCCTCCTTAGTTTTTGACTTGTCTGATAACCTTTTACTAAATTTTGTCAGCTCTGAGTCTCCGTACTTCTCCACATCTTGGGACTTTATCAGTGAGTTTTCATCTTTCTTTCTTTTCTTTCTTTCTATTTTTTCCCCTCCTCAGGACATTTTAGGCTGAGTCACCTCCTCTGCTCTCCTCACAGCTTCTGTGTTTTTTTTTTGTCTTCCTTACCTTCTCATGTCCTTAACTTTTCCCTCTTGCTGCTCTTCCTCTCTGCCTAGGGTCAGTATTGACCCGGCCAAACGGCAGATAGCCAAAACAGGGCCTGCCAACCCTTCTACCCAGGGAGGAAAGACCCTTAGTAAGTCTTCTGCCCTTTGCTTTCTTTCTCTCCTCAATTTGTTTCTCTCTTTATGTCCTCCTTCCTTTTTTATCATCCTGCCATGCTTTCTTTCCCTCCTCTTGTATTTTTTTGCCCCGTCCTCATGCCATTCATTTGAATATTCTTTCCTTCGTTTTTTTTTTTTTTTTTGCCGTTTTGAGTTTCCTCAGATTCCAATCTCTTTCTTTCAGATTCTCGAGCAGAAGATATAGAGAGTTGTAGGAAGATGAAGATCTAGAGTAAGGGTTGCTTCGATCTCCTAATTTGTCCCTGAGGAAGTCTCTAAAGAAACAGTCTGGTTTTCAGACGTTGCTCCTCCTTCTGTAGTGTTTCTTTGTTGTTGTTGTTGTTGTTTTCTGCGCCATTGTGGCTGGCCTAGGACCTGCTGTCAGTCCCGTCTCTTCACTTGTCCTCTTGTCCCCTTTTAGATGTTAAAATGTAGCATTGCACATGTCCTGTTTGTTTCCTCTGCGCCGCAGTGCATGATGGGAGCCTGTGCAGAACACCCGTCCTGTCAGAGGAGAGTTTTAATGTTGCATTATTTAGATGTTATTTCTGTATCTAAATGCTTTTAGTGACATGAGGGCCATCAGAAAGATGTTTTTGATCAACTTTCAGTAGAAGTTTGTAAAATTATTTCTGAGTTCTCATTGTTCATTTAGGTGATGTCACACTGCTATGAGAGACACTGTAAAATATGATTTTTGCTGTGTTAAAGGCAAAATGATTTGGACTTGATGCTTTAGGCTGTTTTTGGCGAATTGGATGTTTCGGGTTGCAGCAAATAGGGATCTCTGCAGCTTTTCCTAGAAAAGCTAAATCATTATTTGACCTCAGATTTTCAGAAGGCTGCCAAGTATTTTCCAAATCCATCGTGTTTAATGACAGCCAGAGGCTCACAGCTCAAAATCGTACAATAGAGAAACGGCTAGAATTAGGGGTGAACCAATAAATCAGCCCAGGTTTCCTTTGTCTGCAATTGTGAAGCCGATCTTATTTCCCCGCTGGTGTGTGTTGTGATCAACACACACCAGCGAGAAGCATTTGGAATAAAAATAGTTTCCTTTTTTTGTTAAATGCCCTTTTACATGTTCTGTGCTTGAAAACAGGTAAAGTTGTGGTATCCAAAGTTGAACATGGATACCGCTCCTGTCTGTCAGTGGAGCTGAAAATCGGCAGCAGCACTGATTTCTTGGTGCGTCTTTAGAAAATACGGGGGGAAAAAAAACAATTGGAGAAAATAGTTGAAGGGAGGAAAAATTGTATTTCTCAGCATCTCTTCACATAAGTAGATAAAATCATCTCGGATTAAATCAACTAATATTTCAGTAAAGCAGTCCCACTCATTAATGGACAGGTTAGATTATTAATATATGGATTGGTCCTGATATTGAAAAAACTTGTAGATCGGGAATCGGTGACGATGTTCCCGATCCATAAGGGCAGATCTATTCAGTATAGTTCTACACTGAGCAACGTCGTGCATTGTTTATTTTTACTTTAGAATTCCTAATTTCACTTTTTAAACTATTTGAAAAGTTTCCTTATGTATTTTCCATTGGCTGTTCTCCTAATTACACTGAAAACAAATGAAAGTGTTTTTTCCATGTTTGACCAGCTATGTTGGTGTATTTCAGTGAGCTGTTCTGGTGCAGAGTTGGGAAGTAAATTTGTAATTCAGTGCATTTATGTCTGTATTTAAAAAAACAACAAAATAATTGTTTTAGATCAGTTCAGCTGATACTAAACCTTAGATTTTTGTATCAGTAGTGAAAAAGTGGATCAGTGCATCCCTAGTTCTAGTTTTAACTTTTTTTTTTTAACACACATGCACACACGTATATATGTGAGTATGTTTCAATCTTGCAGTCAGGCAGTCTGCAGCAGTTACTTTTTAATTCTGCAGCTTACAGCTGCTGGTATTTAACATCACGGGGATGTTTTTGTGGAAAGTCTGGCATATTATTCTCAAGTTGTTTGATCAGAAACTGAGCTCATTTTAATCGTCCCTTTTAATACACACCACTTGGACCCCGTGATGAAGCCCAGGATGTCTTCCTCACCTCCTGGTGGACTGGATGTTGGGTCATTAGCGTTCTGCAGTCACAGGAACACGTCGACTGGTCTGTGAACTTCACATCTCGCTGACTGCAAACCCGGATGCTTCATCTGCTCACTGACGTTTCTAACTTGGCGAATGAAAACCGATTGTCTTTCCAAATTATCCTGATAACATTTAGCAATTGGGACACGAGATCTTCAGTCTTAACCTCTTCAGGCGTCGACTCGGACTTTTCTGAGAACTTTTTCGCAGCTTCTCCGTCTTCCTTTTCTCATCCCACCTGCTTTGGTTGCTGCTGTTTTGGGTTGAAACGCCGCCGCCGTGTTTTTCTGTTTTCTGTCGTTGCTTCCAGATGAACAGCCCTCACCGTTTTGGTTTCTTTCATCACTACTTCTTCTTCTTCACTGACATTAATGGAAGCCAGCTCTTCCATCTTTCTTTGTGTTTCTAATTTATTTTTGTTGTTGGTGGTGGCTCACACCGTCGCTCACGTATTCCGTCACACACTATTTATTTATTTATTTCCATTCACTGAAATTGATCAGAAATGATTTCTGTTGTGCACAATCCACAATCTGTTGTGTTGTTTTCTTCTCCCCTGACTCGCCCACGCCTCCCTGTGTGAATCATCTCATGGCGCCTCAGAGTCTCAACCGAGTTTGAGAGAAACGGGAGACTTGAGGGCTCAAGGTGAGCTTATACCTGCCCCGCCCCTCCACCCTACGCCTCCCTCCGCCCCACTGCTTCCCATGTAGCGTCAGGCCCGCGCTGCTTTGCCCCGAGTGTGTAGGAGTTGCAGCAGTGTGTTGTTGAAACTTTGTTGCTGCGGTTGCATGGCCGTGTGACGTGCCGCTCTGCTATCGCTGCATGCTAGCTCTTCTGTCAGCCTCAAGATTCAAAGTCTGCTGAAACGTCTCTGGTTTCTGTTGCAATTCTCCAAAAAATATTCCTTTACATGATCTATGAAAAACCCAGAAGGCAGTGGGGCTTTGCAGGGGAGGGGACGTTTTAGTAATGTCTATTTTAAAATGTAAAATGTTGGTGTTTTTTGTTAGTAATTTTTTTTAAAAAATTGATATGAAAACTAGAAGTGGCCAGAATTTCATTGAGATATTTTCTAAATAAGTAGATTTAAATGTTAGGCCAACAATAACTGGGGTTTCAAATCAAAACAACACAAAAGACAAACAAAACAGATTTTTTTTTTCAAATAAAATATAATTTTGAATACTGAGAAAAAATATTTTATACTGTTAAGTAAAATACAAGTTTTGAAGAAATCCCTTTAATCTTATAAACGAGTGATGGTGAGAAGATTTGGAGCTTCTGCTACATGAGGAAACATGTGAAGAGCTAATCAGAAATAAAAATAGATTTTGAAGAAGTTTGACTGCTTTAAAGCCACTCAATATTGATTTATTGATTATTAAAAACTGCTATAAGTAGTTTAAAGTTACTTTGAAATTCTTACATTATCTTTTGAGAAATACTGTTCTCATTTCCTATGAAAAAAATGTTTTTAATCTTCATCTGTCATGTATGAAGACGTTTATGTTTGAAACATCTTAACAGTTAAAGAACTTTTCTTATTATTTTTATCATTTAAAATGAAGCAAATCTTAATGTTGCAGTGATATTCTGGGTTTTTCAGAGATGGCTTCTGTTTGTTTTACTTTCTTTTACTTCCCCTTTCTCAGTTTGGAAGTCACAGACAAAATGTAGTAAAAGCAACAAGAGAGTAAATATGCTCATAGATTATTTAAAACATTTTTATTATTCTTACAATAAGATTTAATTTTACCTTCAAACTGGAATCAAAAGTTGGTTTCTCATGCAAATAAACCTGTTCACTACATTTTGTCTAGTTAAAGGCTCCACAGCTTTGTGCTGCAACCTAAATGTGACGTAAAGATAAACTGAGCTCAGAGCGACTCGGGTCACAATAAGAAAAACTTTGGCTTTATTAGACCGTACAGTTTCATTCTCCCTCGCCCCTAAAAAAAAAAAAAGTCACTTCTGTGAAGGATTTGTTGCAAACAATCCCAGCAGGATTTGTATTTATTCTGAGCTAATCTGAGCAAAGCTCTCCTCCGTGTCTTTCTCCCCACAGTCGCCATGTACCTGGGGATCAGAAAGGGGAAATTAAAGACAGTAAGCCCCGCTCCCTCAGATTCACTTGGAATATGAGAACCACCAGCTCCATGGAGCCCTGCGACATCATGAGGGAGATCCGCAAGGTGCTCGACGCCAACAACTGCGACTACGAACAGCAAGAGAGTTTCCTGCTCCTCTGCGTCCACGGCGACGGGCGGGCCGAGAACCTGGTCCAGTGGGAGATGGAGGTCTGCAAGCTCCCCCGTCTCTCCCTGAACGGCGTCCGCTTCAAAAGGATATCCGGGTCATCCATCGCTTTCAAGAACATTGCTTCCAAAATTGCCAACGACTTAAAACTATGAACAAAAGGACTTCAAAGTATAAGTAAAACAAATTAAAACATCTATATTCAGAGGTATTTAAGCTGTACAATCATCCAAGTAGCAGTTTCCAAATGTCTCCTTTTTTTTTTTTTTGAACAAAACACAGTATGTATTGAACATTATAATGTATAGATACTGGCTTTTGGCAATAATTACTGAATTATCTACTAATGTCTGTTCTGACCACCAGGGGTCGCCATTAACAAGTTCAAAATGATTTGTCATGCTGTGAATGTGGAGAAAAAAAGAAAAAAAGCATTTCTGGTCTTATTTATTTCACGTTTTATTTTATTTTTTTTGTCTCGGTTAAAAAGAAGAAAGATGTAGCTTTTTGTTTTATCTTGTGTAAATAATGTATCTTGCTTTCAAGATGGCTCCACTGCTACACTTTAAAAAATTTTTTTTCTTTTGTATTTTGTTAAAAGTTAGAGATAATGGGAAGTCCATGTTAACGCCACACGGTTAAGGTTCACTCATGTCTCCATTAAAGCTCATGTCTGTCAACCTGAACATCCCGACTCGTCACTGGACCAGAACCAGCAGGAACAGTTACTTTTAAAGTTCAGAGATTTTGGGATTAAAAAATGTCTGATTAAAATATCGATAAGGTGATTATGAGAGGGAGACCAGATTTAGTGGCCCAGTTTAAAAACAATCATTGTTTGCTGTGATGTATTTGTGGACAAACCCAATTCAAACACAAAGATGTTGCAGCCATGGTAACAACAAACGAGATGATTGTTTAAACTTTTCCAAAGTAAACTTCCTAATTAAATCCTAAATGTAATTTTTTTTCACAGTTGAATCTGTTAAATAAAATGTAATAACATTGTCATTCTCTATAAATGAATGCTACAGGTTTAGATCCTTCACTAGTACAATCATCAAAAAACCTATCCATTCATTCCACCTTTCACTCACTCACACATTCACACCTAAGGAGAGAGAGACATACTTACGTGATTGCATGTTTTAGAGTGTGGGGGAAACCGGAGTACCCGGAGGAAACCAACGCAAGCACAGGGAGAAACATGCTAACTCCATACAGAGGAGAGACCCCAAGCTGGATTTGAACCCGGAACCTTCCGACTGCAAGGCAACGGTTCTACGAACTGCGCCACTGTGCTGCCCGATACATAACTATGCTCCTATTAATATAACCTTGTACCTTTTGACGTCACCGCCGTTCTCTGCTGACGACGTTGAAGAAGCATCCGGGGTTTTTCTTCGTTATCATCCGGGTCTTACTCCTCCTTTGAGTAAGGAGGAGTAAGACCCTCCTTACTCCTCCTTAAGGAGGATTAATGGAATATATTCCATTCCAATATATTGGAATGGAAATATTGGATTTCCATTCCAATATCTGCTCCTTCACCATTTGAATGATATCTGTTTACTGTGCTGTCAGCAGTTCTGGCTTCTGGCTCACCTGTGAGCCTTCAATCTTCAACATGTTGCCAACTTAATGCCGAGGATTGGTCACCTCCTCCACGTCTCATTCATTGTTTTTAGCTGCACAGTCCGGATCATTCTCCTCCACTATGTCATTAGTGCTACTGTGTGGCATTTTTCAAACAGCAGGTTGAATTAACATGTTTGGTTCCAGTGGTCTCTATGACATCAGCGGTTATGACATCACTGTGATACAACAAAGGAATCTCTCTCTTGATTCTAGCTCTCAGACAGTGTTTTCTCAGACCTGTTCCACAGCTCTATCACAACAGATCACATTTCAAAGAAACAAGAATTAACAGATAACAAACATGGACCAACAACTTTCATGGATAGAGATGATAGAAGAAAACATCCAGGTAGACTATGATGCAATCCTTCATTTTGATGATGAAGAGGAATGCCCCATTGCGCCTGAAGACGAACCAACCGAGAGTCCAAGAGCATTCGACGACAAGGAGCAAGAAACAACCTATGACATCTTGGATCTGACGAGGCAGATCGATGATTTAAAGAAAGAGCTGGATGAGGAAAGACAACAACGAATTGCCAGGGAGAAAGAACTCAAAGTCCAGCAGGAGGAAATTAAAAACCTGAAGAACTTGTTGGAAAGAGAACGTCACATGAAGAAAACATCAGCCCAAGAAAGCAACATCAGCGGTTCAGTCAAAACAGGAGGATCGTTGTTGTCCGTTGTTACTTCCAAAGTAACAACGGACAACAGACTTCTTCAAGAGCTGGACAAGTTTAAGAGGGAGGCAGAGATGTATGCCTCAAGAAACAAAGGACTCATAGAAGTTATGATGGACGAATATAGAATCAAATTAAAGTATGAAGAAAAACTGAAGGATCAATCAGAACATGTTCGCAAATTAGAGGAAACAATCACATCTTTGCAGGCTCTGGTTGGAGCCTGCAAAGGTCCCCAACCAAAGGTCCCCCAGCAACAAGATGTCCCCCTGCAGCAAGATGTCCCCCTGCGACCAGATGTCCCCCTTCAATCAGATGTCCCCCAGCAACCCCAGGTCCCCCTTCAATCAAATGTCCCCCAGCAACCACAGGTCCCCCTTCAATCAGATGTCCCCCAGCAACCCCAGGTCCCCCTTCAATCAAATGTCCCCCAGCAACCACAGGTCCCCCTTCAATCAAATGTCCCCCAGCAACCAAAGGTCCCCCTTCATTCAGATGTCCCCCAGCAACCAGAGGTCCCCCAGCAACGGACCTACAATCAACCGCAGTGGTGCCACGTAAGTCGGGCCTCCAAAAAGCCAGAGAGGTCAGAGGACAAGAGAACATATTATCAACCGCAGTGGCGCCACGTAAGTCGGACGTCAAATCAACTTGAGAGGTCAGAGGACAAGAGGACGTACAATACACCACAGTGGCGCCGCTAGACGATTGGTCTCCATGCCACCAACCTCCACTGGTTGCATGGAGTCCAAGTCCAGCACTTGGACCCCATGCAGGACCGTTGAAATGAAGGCCAAATTATGCCCGGCTCAGCCTTTACGCTGACCCACACCCAGGTGGTACTAAGTGATGTTTCACCAGGTCACTAGCTTAGTGCCTTGACACATCAAAAATTTCTAACTCCAAAATCAATGGAGAAAACACAAAGCGGACAAAAACTAACAAAACAAGATACATTTCAGAATGAATGACAGCATCACAAACATTAAAGTTTCAAACCTATAAAATACTCTATAGTATTATATCTCATTACAACAATGAGATATAATTGCGGCACCACTGTGGTTGATATCTCATGATATCAAAATAGTATTATATCTCAATATAATACAGATTTGTCCATCTGGCCTCTCAATTCCAATACCAAGAGAGGTCAAAGCATTCCAAAAATATCTCAATATATCTCATTGTTTTGAGATATATTGAGATATATTCTGAGCAGTTGTTTCCTGCTATATCTCATTACATAGATATAGCAGGAAGAAACATAGTAATGAGATATAATGATATAATACAATATATTTCATTATGAGATCGTTATCTCAATATGAGACACTGTGATTACTATCTCAAAATATTATATTGTCATATCTCATATCTACATAATGAGATATAGTACTATATACTTATATAATACAATATATAATGAGATATTGTATTATATCTCATTATAACAATGAGATAATAATAATTATAGCATTATAATCATCTTTATGAGATAGATACTATCTCAATACAATGAGAAAGTGTCTCATTATATTGAGATTGTATTATATCTCATTACAACAATGAGATAATAATAACTATAGCATTATAATCATCTTTATGAGATAGATACTATCTCAATACAATGAGAAAGTGTCTCATTATATTGAGATTGTATTATATCCCATTGTTATAATGAGATATAATGCTATCTCATTATATATTGATGAGACATAATGAAATACTTCAATATAGTATTTCATTACAATGAGATGGTATATATTTATATTTTCCAGAGTGGCAGAAACAGACTTCCATGGAAATAAAAAGTCAGGAACTTCATTGCTCCATTGTTGGTTGTTGTAGGTTTCTGTGAAGTGCAGTGGTGCAGTGAATGGTTATCGTCTGTCATTGATCCTGACTGTTTTTAGGAAGGAGAAATGTTAGTTTTCCTCAAGTAACACTGGAATGCTGGGACATTGAATTAAAACATTGTTCTGTTCTTTGGTGAAATATTTTTCACATTTCCTCTAAAAACTATCTGTTGTTTTTTTTATTATTGTTTATTAGGATAGGATAGAAAGACATCAAAAACCTATGATATAAACAGAAACGTTCTGAAAGTAGGAAATAAATAAAGATAAATCCTAATTGGGATTATTTCTGAGTTATTGTCGCAGGGTAATTAGTCATCTGACAGTTTTGACAGCTACAAATGGAGAAAACATGGCAATTGCTTGTTTCACTTTGGCTCAGGTTTAACCTTTGGCTTTTATTTCCCTCAATGAAATTATCTTAAAACTCATCCAAACTCTTTGCTTGGGTTAAGGAACATTACAAATCTCAACTTGAATCAAACCATTTTTATTGCATTTCAGATTTTAAATACACAAGTCAACAACTGAAACTGGGAGTGCAGCCAATCAGAGTGCAGGGCTTTGAGGGAAGAAAGTGATGGTTAGAAAGGAACAGAAAGAGAGAAACAGGAGCATTCATTGTGGGCTTTTTTCTCTTTAGGGCTTTACTTCTGGGCAGGCATCAGGTTGTCAATGGACTGGCCTTTCTCCAGCCTCTTCTCCATCTC